CTGCTACACACATTTGTGTACGTGTGTTTTCTTTTTGTGGACAGGTGTTTTCATTTCTCTTGGGTAAATACCAAGGAGTAGGATTACTGGATGAAATGGTAATTGAATGTTTAACATTGTAAGAAACTGCCAAATTGTTTAAGCAATGCCTGAGAGGTCTCGTATTGTCAGTCTTTTAAATTTTAGTTATTCTAGTGGGTGTGCAGTGGCATCTCATGTACTTTTCATTTTCATTTCCCCAATGTATCTATTTAAATCTTTTGCCCATTTTTCCAGTGGGCTAATTGTTTTACTGAGTTGTAAGAGTCCTTTTATATTCCAGATCCAAGTCTTTGGTCAGATATTTATTGTGAATATTTTCTCTCAGTCTGTAGCTTACCTTTTCCTTCTCTTAACTATGCTTCCAAAGAGAAGTGTTTGTTTTTTAACAGTCTAATTTATCAATTTGTATATGTGCATGAGTACATGTGCATGTCCTAAGAAAGCTATGCCCCCTATAGTGGGTTGACTAGCGTCCCCCCAAAATTCATGTCCATCCAGAATGTGTCCTTATTTGGAAATAGGTTTTTGCAGATGTAATTAAGGTAAGGTCATACGGAATTAGGGTGGGCTCTAAATCCTGTGACCATCGTTCTTATAAAAAGACGAGAGGACACACACAGGGGAGAAGACCATGTAAAGATGGAGGCAGAGATTGGTGTTACGCTGCCACAAGCCAAGGAATGCCAGGAGCCAGGCGCAGCTGGAAGAGGAAGGAAGGATTCTCCTCTAGAGCCTTCAAAGGAAGTGTGGCTCTGCCGACACCTGGATCTCAGACTCCTGGCCTGTAACGCTGTGAGAATCACCTTGTGTTGTTTTGAGCCTCCCAGTGGTAATCTGTTATGGCAGTCCTAGGAGACGTACACCCACCCAGGATCACAAAGATTTTCCCGTTTGCCTCTAGAAATTTCAGTTTCACTTCTACATTTAGTCTTATGATCCATTTTATTTTTGTGTGTAGTGTGATGTAAGGATTAATTTTTCCCATATGGATATCCAGTTTCCAGTGCCATTTTTAAACAAGACTATCCTTTCCCCCGTTGAATTACCCTGCACTTTTGTTGGAAATCAATTGACCATAAACGTGTGGATCCGTGTCTGGATCCTCTTCTGTTCCCTAGCTTTACAGAACTATCCTTATGCTGATCTCACCCTCTTCATTTCTGTACCTTTATCAGGTAGTGTAAGTCCTCCAACTTCATTGCTCTTAAAAATCATTTTGGGTCTGCTGGGTCCTCTACATTTCCATGTAAATTGTAGAATCAGCTTGCCAATTTCTACAAAAAACTTGCCAAGTCTTCCAGTCCACAGTATGCCTTCATTGATTTAGATCTTTCTTTCTGCAATATTTAAAATTTCCAGAATACTGTGCTTGCATGTGCTTTGTCAAATTTATACCTAAATGTTTCATATTTTTGATGCTATTGTAAATGTTTTAATTTCATTTTCCAATTGTTTATTACTAGTATGTACAAACATTTCTTAAAGGTAACCTTGCTAAATTCACTTGTTACTTTTATTAGCTTTTGTTGTAGATTCCTTAGATTTTCTAAGTACATGATCATGTCACCCATGATTAAGGACAGTTTTACTTTTCTTTCTAGTTTACATGCCTTTTATTTCTTGTTAGTGCCTTATTGCACTGGCTAGGTCTTACAATAAAATTTTCAGTAGGAGTGGAGGGTGGACATCCTTATGTTATTCCTGGTCTTAGGGTGAAAACAGCCACTCTTTCATCACTGAGCATGAGGTCAGATGTAGGTTTTTCATTGATGCTTTTTATCTAGTTGGAAAGTTCCCTTCTGTTGTCTGTGAGAGTTTTTATCATGTTGGATTTTGTTAAATGCTTTTTCTAGTCTATTCAGATGATCATATAGCTTTTCTCCTTTATTCTGTTAACATGATGAATTACATTGATTGATTTTCTGATGTTATTGGCTGTGATCTATTAGGATATGTTACTTTTTATATATTGATGGATTTAATTTGATAGTATTTTATTAAGGATTTTTGACTCTATGTTCTTTAAGGATGTTGACTTATAATGTAGTTTTCTTAAAATGTCTGTGGTTTTGGTATCAGGTAATTCTGGTCTTGTAAAATGAGTTGGGAGGTGATTTTCTCCTCTTGTGTTCTCTTTAAGTTTGGTCCTTCTTCCTTAAACGTTTGGTAGAATTCATCAATGAAAACATCTGAGCCTAGAGTTTTCTTTGTAGGAAGGTTTCTCAAGTGCAAAATCAGTTTCTTTATTAGGGATCTTTTTAAATGAGTTTTGGTAGTTTCCAGAGATTTGTCTCTTTGGTCACAGTTGTCTCACTTAATGGAATAAAGTTATTCATAATAGTCCTTTATTATCCTTTTAATGTTTATAGGATTTGTAGTGAGTTACTCTTTCCTAATTTGGAAAGAAGTTCTTTCTTAGTTTGGCTGGAGATTTATCGATTTTATTGTTTTTTTCAAAGAACTAGCTTTTTGGTTCATTAGTTTTTCTGTTGTTTAAAAAATTTCATTGTTTTCTGCTATTTTATCCTTCCTTTAGCTTACTTTGGGTTTGATTCACCCTTCTTTTTCTTAAGGTATTAACTTAGGTCACTGAATCAAGACTTCCTTTCCAACATAGGCAAATATAAGAAAATCAGAACAAAACAGTGCAAAAGCAATTAATGTATTGGTATTAAAATTGAATTTTGATTTTACCAATTTTCTGACACTTGCATTGTTGCTTTTCAAAGTTCTTTTTTCTAGTACAGCTTTTTAAAAATTCTGACAATATAAATAATACATGCTAAATGTTAAAAAAAAATTTCAAAGGGTAGAGAGATTATAAAGTATAAAGAATTACATTAGTCAGGATAGGCCATAACAAATAATCACAAAATCCTTGCAGTTTAATACAACAAGCCTTTACTTCTTGCTCACACTTTACATCCATTGTCAATCCTCAGCGGCTTTGCTCCACACAGTCCCAAGGACCCAAGGACCCAGGTGCACGGGGCTCCACCATCACGAGCTGTACTATCTCGAACACACAGCCTTGTCATTGCCTGCGGCAGGGAGGGGAGAGGACTGAGGGGCTCCCATCTGCAGTTAAACACTTTGGCCTCACAGCCTGTTGGCCAGAATTAGCCACGTGGGCCCTCATAATTGTAAGCGTCAGGGAACTAAACTCTTCCCATGGGCCTAGAAGCAGGGATGAGTGAGCATACAAGTCTGTACCCCAGGAAAAGGGTGAAAGTCACCTGTCCTCCTCGTCCAAGATAACCCCTACTTCCTGTCCTCTCCTGGCCCCAGTGACCTTCCTCAGGGCCAGCCTTACGTCTGGGTTGGTGATTACTCCTGTGGTCTGACCCATCAGTGATTCGTATTTCACTGTGTTCTACTTTTGCAACCCTTAACTGATTTTATCAGTGTATAAATGAGACCTGGGAAAGAGAAAATCAAGATCCCTTGCTAGTTGCCTTAACAACATGTAAATTTCAGATATCTTTTTAAAACTTTGCTTGAGAATGTCTCTGAAAGATACACGATTAACTGGGAAGAGTGGTTTTATTTAGGGACAGAAATGGACTGGAGAGTGGTGAGTGGGGGTGAGGGGTGCTGGAAGAGTGGGTAGGAGGGGTAATTTTCACTATATACACTTCTGTAACTTGTTTTATACCATGTAAATTATATTACCTACTTTTAAAAATAAGTTAAATAAAAATCTTTGTTTTCTATATTTCCTTACTCTATATTGAATCTAATTATATGTAAATAAATGAAAACATGTTTCCTTAAATGTTGTTGTAGTTGAATGACACTGTATTTTTTCACTGAATTTTGACACATCAAGCAAGGACCACATTTTGAAAAGTGTATTTACCTCTTGGAGGAATAAAATTCCATTATCCAAACAGCTCAGTTAGTTATGGTCCTTTGGGTACCAATAATCAACAGTCACTCTTACTTGGATGTTACCTTTCGGGAACGCTCTGATCCCTTCTACATTGCACTTGAGAGCTGAGCCGTAACTGACTTACTGAACATGAGCTTTGAAACCAGATCTGAGATTGAACTTCAGCTCCAACACACGTCAGTTGTGCAGCCTCAGGAAATGTGCTTATTAACCTCTGAGCCTGTTTCCTCATGGCAAAAAAGAATATATACCTTTCACGATTGTTGTAAGGATTAGCTAAAAGGTATGTGAAACCCTAGACAAGGCTCAATACATTTTTTCACCCCCAGGTTTTCTCCACGTGTGAGGCTCAGCAAATCCCGCTATAGTGTGAATTCCATTTTCTGTACGATAGTAGACCAGAATGTTAACTGTGCCCATCTTCTTCCCATCCTACTCTTTAATGCACATGGTTTTGTTAAACTTTTGATATTTCATAGCACAACTATTTGATTATAATAATACTATGAAGTTATTTACCTTTTTTTACTCTCAAGCTCATGAATACAGAGGACTTTCCAAAGGCTACATGATGTGTGATGTCGCAGCTGATTAAATGCAGATAAGTCAGGCATCTGCTGTTGGGCCAGACACTAAAGCAATTTGTGAAATGGGAAACAATGCCACTCTGCTGACTAAATTTTTTTGTTTGGGAAAATATGCTAATTTTTCATTTAAAAAAATGTTACTTATTGCTAACATGCAACAGTGTCAAAAGGTCCTTAAATCAAACAGTTTGAGAACTGCTAGTTTAGACTCTGAAGCCTGTGAGTGAACTGTGTGATGTAGGCAAGGTTTCTTTCACTAGATGCCGTGTTACATGCACCGCATCACAGGGTCTGTGGTGGACTTTCGATCTAAGTACCCCCTTTCCTCCTTTTGCTGGAAAGAATAGCAGCAGTCAGTTACTGGCTCCCATCCCACAGAAAGTTACAGTTTTTCTAAGCAGAGATCTGGAGTCCCTTACACTGAACTCCAGTTATTAATGGCTATTGATGGTTATTTTTGTTTTCTATCTTTCACACAGCACTTATTCACACGGCATTCTGGTATGCCAGGAACCGAAAGTAAGATTACTGAAGGCAGTAAAACTGAAATATAATAGGAAGATCATCAGCCAAGAAAGCCCGACTAGAGAAAGCAGAGTAAGTATGGTGGTTGTTAAGAACTAGCAGGGTTATCAATAGAAAAGCTGAGACCGGTCCATGATAAGAAGTCGTGGTTTGCTTCCCTCAGGCCCTGCTCATACTTCTCAACTGGTCAGATCATACAGCAAGCAGAGAGGCCTTGAAAAGGACTTCCACACTAACTTTTTAAGTTGTATATGAAGCATATGAGTTGACTGATAAGTAGTTTAAAAAAATCATTCAGGAGAAGAACCATATCTTGTAAATCTCTGAATCTCTGTAGTTAATGTGAACATTTTTCAAGGGAAAATTTGGGACAGGTAGCCCATCAAAGGATTTCTGTCTTGTTCTGGGACGTTTAAAGAACAAATACTGGAATTTTGAATGCTTTCAGTGGGCTGTGGGGGAAGTGGGATATAAAGTTGGTATCACCTAAGAAAGTTTTGATTTGTTTCCATGATCATGGTATTCAGGAACCACTGTAAAATGAACAAAAACTCATTTTCCAATATATCTCCTTTCGATTGCTTTTTATTGCCTCGGGTTGGACATCTTCCTTGGGCCTCTTCCCCCCTCATCTCTAAGTTTCTCCCAGCTTTCCGATTCTCTTATGTGTTCCATTTCAGACTTGTCTGTCTTTCTTCCAGAAGGCCGTAGCTGATCCTCCTCCTCCACGTCCTCCTCCTTTGCTGCCCTTCCTTAGCCCCTTGGAGACACTCTGTCACTTCCCTCCTCCAGGGACCAGCCTGCTTTTCTGGCCTTACAACTGGCCCCACTCTGAGAGTCAATGATGAAATGGAAACTTGGGAAACATCCCTCGGATGTTGCCTACTTAAACAGATTTCTGAGCTTTACTTATTTAATTTTTGATACGAGTTATAAAGGATAAAATCATTTTATACATATTACTTTTTAAGATTTCTTTTAAAGATACTTTTTTAAAAAGTGAGTCTTGAAAAAAAATAAAAAAAAAATAAAAAGTGAGTCTTTAAAAATTGGAACCCACACTATTTCCCTTCCTCACTCCCATTCAAACCAACATTTACTATTTAAAACTAAGCCTGTTTTTTTCTTGGCACGAGGAGGACTTTATATGGTCTTACCATTCCACTAGGCTTCCTATCCAAGCAACATCACTTATAAGGCTAGTGGCATTCATCAAGGGAGTAGCCATGAATGTGTGCCCTTGCATATCAAATCTGGAATGGAACTTTTTCAGGAGAGGGTCATTAAACTATATAGTATATTTAATTATAGAAAAAATTTGAGTGTACAAAAGAACTTGTTTCATTGGTTCTTTTATACCTATGGTTGTGAAAATAGGTATTGGGTGCTTTTTAAAACTATCTTTACATATATAAAGATATATGTAAAGATGTGTGTGTATAAATTCATAATTTGTGTACCTTAATAAGTGAGCTTATGACACGGTAGATTTATGGCCATGAGAGTATGTTAAGGAAAAAATTATTCATGACCCTCGGTAAAGAACAGTAAGGCAGACTTTACTCAAGGCCACTGCAGCGGGGTTCTGCAGTGGGAGAGCGATTGAGTCCAACTCTGATACAACAAGGAAAAGTGGGGATTTATAGCCAGGAACAAGGTGGGGGTCAGTGGATGGAATATTATGGAGGAAACATCAGGGATAAGAGGGGATTCTGGCTCATTCGACCTAACAGGAGTCTTGCTGAAGGCAGGCCAGGGTGACCAGACATCACCTGGGTGACAGTGGAGGACAGTGGGGGGTGAGGAACCTAATCAGATACGGAGGGTGGGGGATTCTGGTTAACCTGACTTAGCAGGATTCTTGCTAAAATTGGACAATGAAAAGACAAACACAGCTCAAAGTCAGGGCCTAGAAGAGTTGCACTCTCTACTCAACTAGGAGAGACTGTGTCAAGTTAAGGTTCGATCTGTCAGGCAGAACTGATAGCCCTCTCCCACACTGATTTCCTTTCTTCACCCTCAGACAATATCCTCACTAGTCCCTTGAAATTATTTAACCATCAGTTATCTGCTTTTAGGCAAATTCAGTTTTCTCACTTTCAGACTTGATACTCCCTTACTTACGTTTTTCCTTAAAGTTTGACATATTCTGAAGAACCTGTAAGTATACTACTACCGTATTAATAATTCAATGTGTACCCTTCTTAGTCTTTTGATATATATGTATAATGTCTCAAAAATTAAATGACAGGGCTGGCCCCGTGGCCTAGTGGTTAAGTTTAGTGCACTCTGCTCTGGTGGCCCAGGATTGGTTTTTAGGCACAGACCTACCTCACTCTGCTAGTGGCCATGCTGTGCTGGCAGCCCACATACTAACAAACAGAGGAAGATTGGCAGAGATGTTAGCTCAGGGCAAATCTTCCTCAGCCAAAAAAAATAAATGACATGTTGCTGCCTAATTTCCTAACCTGAAACTCACTTAACATATTGTGGAAATTTATATTATCTTTTTTAACATGTAACAAATTCATAAGGCTTAACATAAGTATAGAAAAGGTAGAGTGAACTGTCTTCCTCCTATCCTGAGAAACATTTTTAACGGCTGCACAATAGTACATCATACGAATGATACCATGTATCATTTTTAACCCATCCCCAATTATTGACATTTGTGGGTGGGTTTGTTGTTATCATTTGGGTTTTGTTTGGTTTGGTTATTTATAAACTCTGTGGTTGAACAGTCTTGCAGAAATCAACTGGAGGGTTTTTCTAGGATAAATTTCCTTAATTTCTTTCCTTTCCTGATTTCTTTCTCTTTTGTCATCATCTTTTTCCTGCCTCCGAATGCACTTATCACTCAAGCCTCAACTCTTGTTCCTTTGCCTTTACCTAGCACTTCTTAATGGTCTCAGATGTCCATGCTCAGTCCCTGTTCCTTCCCATATTCTCTCATCTCTCCAGGTGCCCCATCTGAAAGATCATGTTCCAGAAGATAAATCTTATCTTTCTTTCCTTTACTAATGTCCCCATTGTTTTCAGCTGAACCATCTGTTTTATATCTTTGAGCTTTAGAGATTTAATCTGAATAATGATCCTGCAGCTAAAAAGCTTTGAAAACGGCTATAGTAAAGGACCCCATAAGCATTACCTCTAAATTTCACTGACAAAAAGACGAAAAGACAAAAATGCGGGTGGGGTAATTTTGTCTGGAGCCAGAGTGGGATTGTTCTGACTATTTCTATCAGGCTGCTATTTTAAGCCTGTGTTTTGGCTTTGCTAGATAAAAGTATTTTTCTACTTATTTACACAAGTTATTAAAACCTGTACTCAGGGGTCAGCCCGGTGGCGCAGCGGGTAAGTTCGCACTTTCCACTTCTCAGCGGCCTGGGGTTCACCGGTTTGGATCCTGGGTGCAGACATGGCACTGCTTGGCACGCCATGCTGTGGTAGGTGTCCCATGTATTAAAAAAAAAGTAGAGGAAGATGGGCACGGGTGTTAGCATAGGGCCAGGCTTCCTCAGAAAAAAAGAGGACTCGCAGTAGTTAGCTCAGGGCTAATCGTCCTCAAAAAAACAAAAAAACAAAAACAAAAAAACCCTGGACTCATAGAGAAGTTTTAGTAACTTATATATAACATTTTGGTTATAGATCTGAGAGTTCTGGACCATGTGGTTCTCAAAAAATGACCAGTGTATACACATTAATTCTTCTTGATCATGTTCTGTATTCTGTAAGTATCATGAAAAATATAAATTCCTGTTTATATATTTATTTGGGGAAAATGAATGGATTAAATCAGATTTCTGAGAACAGACGTGCTTGCTTTGTAAAGTTTTAAAAGAGAGAGCATCAAGATAACATCAAGGTTTTCTTTTCACTTTTCTTTGCAGGAATGGAAAATAAAGGGAAGCAGTGTTTTATCATATGTATTTCAGCCAGCCTTCTGAAATCTAACTAAAAATATGACTGCTCTTTCTTCAGAGAACTGCTCTTTTCAGTACCAGCTACACCAAGCAAATAAGCCCCTAAATGCCAACTGTTTGCTGCTATTGATTATACTTGGGAAAATATTACTAAATATCCTCACAATAGCAATGAAAAGAAAAAACACCTATCAAACTTTTATGGCGTATTTTTGCATTTCATTGGCATTCACTGATCTTCTACTTTTGGTGAACATTTCCCTTATATCATATTTCAGAGATTTTGTACTTTTAGGCGTTAGGTTTACTACATACCACATCTGCCTATTTACTCAAATTATTTCTTTTACTTACGGCTTTTTGCATTATCCAGTTTTCCTGATAGCTTGTATAGATTATTACTTCAATTTCTCTAATACCACCAAGCTTCCATTTAAGTGGCAAAAATTATTTTATTTTTTTATAATAATTTTAATTTGGATTTCAGTCCTTGCTTATGTTTTAGGAGATCCAACCATCTACCAAAGCCTGAAGACACAGAACGTCTCTTCTCATCAATGTCCTTTCTACATTAGCTTTCAGAGTTACTGGCTGTCATTTTCCATGGTGATTATCTTATTTATAGCTTTTATAACCTCTTGGTCAGAAGTTACTACCTTGATACAGGCTATGAGGATAACTTCCTATATGAATGAGACTATCTTATATTTTCCCTATTCATCCCACTCTAGTTATACTGTGAACTCTAAAAAGACACTCTTGCCCAAGTTCATTATCTGTTTTCTTGGTACCTGGTTACCATTTGTACTACTTCAAGTAATTATTCTTTTACTTAAAGTACAGATTCCAGCGTATATTGAGATGAACATTCCGTGGTTGTACTTTGTCAATAGTTTTCTCATTGCTACAGTTTATTGGTTTAATTGTCACAAGCTTAATTTGCAAGATACTGCATTACCTGTGGATCCATTTGTCAACTGGAAATGCTGCTTCATTCCACTTACAATTCATAATCTTGAGCAAACTGAAAAGCCTCTATCAACAATTTGTTAATATGTTGCCGTATTAAAACATTATTTTATGAACAGGAAAGGATGACGACTCAGGACACACAAGGAATGAACTGAACTGAAGCTTTCGCCCTGCCTAACTTTCATACCTTTTCTGAATGTGTTTTGAGACTATGATATTATTATTATTTTAAACAAAATAATTACAAGAAAATTTTTATACCTATTCAGGAACACTGCATGTTAAAAATATTAATTTGTAACACAAAAGTGAAATGAGCTAACCTTTGGCCATACTGATATTCGTGTTACCCAAAAAAACTACTGGATGCAAACTGCTATGTAACCCTCAGATTCAATGCCAACTTTAAGATATGAACTTTAATAAACATTTTTATTAAATTCAGAGCAAGAAAATCAAGATTGTGTTCTTAAAATGATTTGGCTTAAATTTTCTTTAATGTAAGAGGAAGAGTAGCTCAATTTAAATTCAGCTTATTTTTAAAAATATATCTCTGTTCTTAATGTGGATATTCCTGGAAGAAAAGTTTAGGTTGCTCACCTTACTAACCTGGGAGTACTGACTAGGTCTCGTTCCATGACATACGAGGTACATTTTCACTGATAACTTATATGTCACATACTTGCATGTCAAATCATAATCACATTGGCAACATATCACTCTGTACAGTAGGGTTTCTCATCTTCAGCACTATTTGACATTTTGGGTTGCTGGGTTTGCATTCTATGCTGTGGGAGGCTGCCCTGTGCATTGCAGGATGTCAGCAGCATCCCTGCCCGCTGCCCACTAGATGCCAGCAGCACCTCCTTCCCCAGTCACGACAGTCAAAATGTCTCCAGACATTGCCAGATCTCCCTGGTGGGCAGAATTGCCCCTGTTGACAACTACTGGAGTAAAGCAATCTTAATGGCAGAATAACTGGAAGGCACTTTGTGAATTAAACTTTACATGGATATTGTCTAATCTGTCAACATCTGAACCTGGCCCCTCTACTTCTCTGTTACTTTTCCTCTGAATGTACTGCTGTCTAATTGACCACAACATGGGACTGAGATATTTTAAAGTATATTGTACTTAATTAGTAGAGATTTACACCCTGCAGATCTTAAATCAGGAAAATTTATAACTACTTCAAACCCTTCATTAAGCTTTTTGTTTGTTTACTTAAGAGTATTCCCTATGCCTCATAAGCTTAAAGAAAAAAAGAAAAATTATTCAATAGACCAGCCAAATGGAAGAGGCTTTTATTTGTAAAGAAATGAACTTACAACTGGTCTACAATATATTATTGTAATATAAACAATATAAATAAATGATCCTGTAGGCCCACTAACCTCCATCCAGACCCACATGAAGCAATGTTACAACAATATTCTATGTGAAAATGTGCAGGTAACAAAGGTGCAATTACAAGCAAGTTTAAGCAGCAGAGTATAAGGTGCTTTAATTTAACAGTTAATGTTGCCATCAACAAACATCTGAATGCTCAATTTTACTTCACTGAATACAGACACAACAAATATGAAAATCTAAAATTCATACACATGCTACTTGTTAATATGAAAGTGCTTTTTCTTTTTTAAAAAAATACACCAAATGGACAATCTTTTTACATAGATCATGGTGTGCTCTTATAATGCAAAATTAACTTCATTTTCAGGTTATACATTTTAAAACTGCAGCTACAGACACCAATCTAGGAACGCTAATGCTACGAGTGCTAAAACTATTTCATTTCCTGTAAGGAGGACTCGAATACAATAGCCAATGTAAAGAATACATCTATATATAATCTTAACATTTGTTTTCTGTAAAGATAAAAAATGTTTTCTTTCCCCTTGGTGATGCTTTGTTCATCCTGGGAGGATCAGCTTTTGAGGTTTTAATAATATGAAAGTCCTATTTTAGGACAATACGAGGAACCAAAAGGAGCAATTTTTAAAAATCAGTTAACATGTGCTTGAAGCATCAAAAATTAAAATTAAAAAAAGTTTATCACAATTTGCCTTTGTTAAATCAACAAATTTTTTTTTAACAAGCAAGAAGACAAAAAGCACGAATTCAACAAAGAGGCTTGAAATAAATGCCTGCCCCAGTGTCAGTACCCACCCTGCACACTGCTGTCTACAACTCCAGGCTTCACCACAAGCTCACTCCTTACTCTGAGAATAGTTTTTGGAACTTACTTTGACTTTTTTCCTACGGAAAAAACAAAGACCATGCTTTTGAATGAGGTGATTGGGACTCTGGTTAAACATCTTGGAAATTAGACATCCAAAATTATACCATCTTTGCACACTTCGTTGACTTTTTAAAATATAAGAATACAAATACAAAAAGTATTTATGCAATAGATATTTTAACAGCATAAAATATTTGAAAAATTAGTTGAATTAAAACATTGTAAAAGTTAATTTTACCCAGTACTATGAAAAAAGTTTTTAAACCCAGACTATCTGGTTATTTGAATATCAACATTCCTAATTTTCAATCAGTTTGTTACACACACTAATCTAACATGTATCTGGACATTTTCCTGCTTTAAAAAGCTGTGACTATGATGAGAAGAGATCTTTATAATATTAGATATTTTCATTTTGTATCTTTATGGAGAACATTAGTATCAAGTGATATTACTATGTAAAGCTGTGTCAATAGGAATTACAACGTAATTTACAGAATCCTCCAGTAGGCAAGGAACCTTTACTCAATTAATAATCTATCCCATCGATGTCTGCTCCTCAAATACTTGTCAATTCCAGCAGGGAACTGTTTTATGTTTACCAGTTCTGCGTTTTAAAGGAAACCCTTTTACTATGTAATATATGTGTGCTTTCTAAAAAGCAGATATTTGTAATAACAATAAAATTTATTTTGTGTGATTTTTCTTGCTTTAAAAACAAAAAAAAAACAAAATAAAAATCAAACCTGTTCAGCGATCTCCTTTGAGATTTTTCAGTTTTATAAAGTTACTTCACTGTCAATACTGGGTGTAAAGTTTTTGTAGTTAAAAATGTAAAGTCAGTCAGCACCAGCTTCTTTGTACTATTCTGTCACACACCGTGCATAGCAACCTCTGGAATAGATTCAAGTGTCAAAATAACTCTGAGAAATATGGGCTGTCACAACAGCTTCAAAATGTAAATCCTTAATGTTAGGTACCCTTAATTGTGTAACCTATCAGATATACGGTTGACTGGTGTTCAACTGTGAAATGTGTTGTAGGAATTGTGATGTGACTCACTTAAACACCTTCCATGTGATCTGCCTCATCCTTTACCCAAGGCATAAAAAATTCCCTCTCAGTTCCAACTTTATGTTCAGTACATTAAGTAATAATAATTATGTCCATGTTTGTTTAAGCCACCAGATTTTGTTTGGGAAGATTTTGTTTACTTATTACTAGGTTCCTTAAGTCATGTGCACCACACAGTAAATGTTCAAATGGTTTGCTAAACGAATGGATAAATGTCAATGAATGATAATGCTCATATGTGTTCATATGTACAGAGGTTAACTAGCAAGAAGCATTTAGAAAAATGGCCTCATTTGCTCATCTGTATGAATTTTCTACCTTAATCTTTAGGAGAACAAAGACTGTAGGTGCCCTAGGAAATGCATGCTTAATAAATAATTATCTTTCAGCAAAAGCTCTTAAGTATTAAATGAACCATTAAAAGGAAAGAGAATTAATTAAATAGGAGCAACTTTAAAAATACCCCATTATGTGGCCTAGAATCATCATTTTAGAGCAAGGAGGCACTTTAAAGATGATTTGAACCAAAATTCACATTTTGAGTAGTATAGGGTCCATGCTGTAAACTCAGAAGAGGAAAGAGGTTAAGAGCTAAGTAACTGCCTGAAGCGTCACACAGCTAATCACCAACTGGAGTAAAACCCATCTCCTGGCCAGCGTTCTATCTTATTCGTCATGTTAATTTAATGATTATTCCATCTATTATTAACTATTGAAGTAGACTATTTAGTATTACCTAAAACAAAAAGGATTATGATTTTTAACATGGCATTCTAAACAAAGATTTTAAGCAGTGGTCACTCTGGTTTGCTTGAGGCAAGACTAAAAAAGTTTCTTCTTTCTAAAGTAGGTTGACGTTTATTTCACTACCAGACCCACCACTCTCTCATAAACACCAACTTCTTCACCTCCATCAATCAAAGCTCCACAAAACATGAATTTAACACTGATCATATTCCCTAAAGTATAACTTTTAAGCAAATAAATGATGGCTACTATCAATTCCTAAGATTACAGGAGGCAGTGTATACAGGTTAGGGTCTAAAAGGACTTACTACATTACTCTTACATTTAAAACTATGTATGCCACGTTAGCATAAGTGTTTTAAATTTATCTTGATTTTTTCCCACATTAAAATTTTTTCCTTTTAAACAATACATTTTAAAACCTTTGCACAGGTTTTCTTCCTATGGATTCATACTGATGCCACCAATATCACCAAGAGCAACTATACTTTTCAGAGGCAGTAGGAAAAAATATTTTTCTAATGTACCTCTTCTCCAACATCTGATCTGAGAGTAAAACTGTCATCTTTAAATAAAATTAAATGTTTACAAGTTATACAAAGGGAAAAATACAACATCCGTGGGAAACATTTCCTAAAAGGTTCCTCAGCATGGCGCTTCAGAGGTACGTGCGCCTGTGCGAGGGCAGCCCGGAGCCTCTGTGTGGGAAGCGGGCCTCAGCCAGCAGAGGGGGGAGGCCGCTCCCTCTCACCCATGTGTACTGAAGCGAAAGAGCAGAAGCAGCCAAACAGTTTGCTCTGGAATATGACGGCAATAATTATATTTGTATTAGTGCTTTACAATTTCAAAAAAAAGCTTTCTCATAGTATTATTTTAAAATAGATTAAATAAGCTCTAAAAAATATGTAAAACTTTAAAATTCTTAAAAATTTAGGAAACTTTTTTCAAAGAAGATAATACAATTTTCAACATTTTTTATTGAAGAAATGGCTTGTATTGCTGCTATGAGGGAAATTTCCTATGAAGGAAATTATAGTGATGCATTTTATGAACTTCTAACAAAAGAGGAATATCTTCCCAAAGAATTTTAAGATGTACAGCTTATAATAGGTTGAAATTAAATTTTAGTAAGATTACATATTTACTTTTCCTAATACTGTTATTTGTGCTTATCTAACTTGAATCACAATTTTTAAGATGAAATCAAATGCTTCTAAATAGATTCATAAAATACCAATATTGATGAGTGTGGATTAAACAATTCATTTCATGATCCACACTACTGTGCATCAAAGAAATGGAGGTAGGCTTGTCTTTACTGAAATCCACACTAATAAAGAGAAACCTGTAGCTCTTAGTCATCCAATGTTTAGACTGAGACACAACCTAACAAAATCCTGTCTTAAAAACACCTTTCTTTATAACAGTCCATATGCTTGATTCAACTGTGGTATCTGAAAATGGACTCTCTCTCCCCTTTAATTCTGATAACTCAATCATAACAATTAACCTTTGAGTTTTTAACAAATATTCTCCAAATATATTTGTCACCTTTTTGAGAAGTCAAAAATCACTAACTTATGTATCACTTGAACTATTAATATGCTCCTAAGGGCAGGATCACTTGATAAAAAGAGTGAAAGAATGAGTCTGCTTACAGGTAAATCTCGACATAAGATTTATGGGATCCAATAAGATAATGGGATCCAACCATTACAATTTATTATTTTGAACTACTGAAGGTCATATCTATACTTCATGACCTCAATCAGTTAACTGTACTATCCTCTTGGGTCTCGAATGCTTTCCCTCCTATTTGTCTCCTCTTCTACTTCCCTATCCTTCCCCCTAGAATACCTTCCCCAGGGCCCAGCTAGTTACATATATGGTGCACAGGAAACAGACTGAGCAGACACTGTGCAGAGATGGGCCAGTTTCTACTGCGCAAAGGTTTCACTGAAACATGACTATTAGGTATTAGAAAGTCCTGTCCCAGTTACCTCCCTAAAATTAACCCTACTACAAAATCCTCTCTAAGGATTTTCAGCCAAAAGTCTAAAGAAAGTTTTCATGCAGAGTTTCCTTGGGGCTAGAGGAGGCTTTAGGGATGGTGAGGGGTGAGTGAGGTCCTTCTGTGCTGTCAGTAAAGCTCAATGCCAGTTGCATGTTGGCAGCACGTGTTTCTGCCATTCACTAAGGGTGAGGATCTTCAAACCACAAAATATAACCAGGCTGTTCTGGTTAAAAATATGTCTTTAAAACATTTTAACAGTGCCAGCCAGGGATTTTTTCCATTTGATATGGCTGTGAGGATGGCATCATTCGCATTTCTTTGCAAAACTGTTTACGCACATGTAAACACAACATAAGTCAATACAATCCATGTATTGCCTCCCTATCATACTTGTGCCATGGTGGCACCCAAACCCTGCCAATGCAAATAATGGGAACAATCCAGTGCTATGGGGCACTATGACAGATTTTAAACTAAGACTGGTATTTGAATAAATGTCTGACTATAATTCCACACTAGATATATGAAGATTAGCTATGTCAAAAATATTCAAAAGCATGGGCAAAACAATACTTATTTCATACAGTTCTAAGCGTTTCAACACGCCAGGAAACGAAAATAAAACACTGAGCTACCTAAAAACAATCATTTCTACTTAAAACTAGGTAAAACATGAATACTAACTTCCAAAGTGCAGAAATTTGTTCAGTGTTGAAGTGGATGAGCTAACAGAGTGGCAGGTCTCGTGTCTGCCTCTCCCATTCTCAAGCTTCTTCACTGACATGTCTTTCCTCCCATCCCCTCTTCTCTACTCTTAGGTGACAGCTCAAACGGGGACCAAAAAAAGTCTGTTTAGCAGATGCCACAGCAAATTAAAAGTACCATCATGGAACCAGTTATATGCTACTTAAACAGCGGCAGGCTGGGAACAGCACTGTCTCATGCTATACTGATTCTATCAAAGCTGCAGAGCTGCGTTCGACACGTGCCTGCACAAGGCTTGATGAAAAGCCATGTCATGTAAAAAATAACCTTCACAAACCAGCTCTCTCGGTTTGTTTACCTCCTTCAGAACACACGGCTTAAAACAAATAAAATCTCAAATTTCTAAGGTTTTTTCCCTCAATGAGAAAAGAGTGCATTAGTTTAAAGAAGTCAGAAAATACCAACCTCGGTAGCAAAAGGAAGGACTTCCCATGTCCCCTTTCTGCTTGTCACTCCCTCTCCTCAATCAAATTCCTAAAACAATTAGTAATATGAAAGAAAACGAAAATAGTAGCACTCTCCCCACCTATATCACACTAAAACTGTGCTTAAAGCTCAGGAGACAGGCCAGGGCCATTATTTACATCCACTATATCTAACTGAAGCTTTGAAATTAAGATGGTTAAATCATCTAGAAAGAAAGAGCTGCATCAATGAATAAAACTACCAATTGAAAGCAAATGAGCCATTTCTAAATAAAACAACTCAATTTTTTGGGTGTTTTCAGTGGGGACAACAGAAGATCTGGACTAATCTTAAGATTATTAAAAGGTTTAAGATATAAGGTGCTCTCAAATGGAAACCTCTCTTGTAAGCTTTCTTGACACTTAACACAGTGCTAGGCACAAGGGACTTTCAGGAAGTACATAATGACTGATATGAGAAGAGGAAGTAGATAAAAGGAGAACCTACAGCACAGTTCAAAGTTATGACCTTAGAGGCTACAGATATTTATATTTAGTTATGGGACGTAATCATTATTGCTAGAGGAGTCTATCCCTAAGTAATCAATTTTGTATTAACTGTTTGTGGATTATCTATCATCAAGTTTTAATTCCAGAGGAGATTTTCCTTTGTGCCCCCATCCGCCACATAGTGGGCCATCTCCTACAATGCTTAGCCTATACTTGTGCTCTGAAGTTGCAAGATGAGGGGAACAGTCAAGCCTATGACAACTCTGTCACAATGATTAACTGCTAATATATGAAAATTGACTACAGAGTACCTACCTTTCCTTGAATCCAATCCTTTCCTTTAATCCAATAATTAGAAATGTGATATAAAGAAATATGTGACACAGACTACAAGCTATTGTAGGTCTGGAACATGAGCCTTACACTATATTACATTCTAATCCTACACATAACTATCGGTAAACATCTTTTTTTAAAACATTACTACACAAAAGAACCCCACAAAGCATACATTCAAACAAGAGGCATCTAAAGATTAAAAAAATTACCCGCTGTATTTTTGTATAAAAATAATCAACATTCTCTAATGTACACAAAGCCAAAAGATAAATATTTGTGATGTCTTTAATGACATCTTTAGTCTTCTACTAGCTCAACACAATCCTTTTGAAAAGAGCAGTGACAATGACTGAAACCCATGGACTCTTTCCTACCTACTGAATCTCTGGCAAATATCTGTGTATGTTCCTTCAATTATTAAAACATTTCCATTTTGTGGTATAGATAAGATAAAAAAAAATTAAAACAAATTTTTGAGGTCCAGGACTACAGAGCTCTCAAGGCTCCCAGAATAATTTTGTTTTAGTGTCATAATTCTCAGAGAACACTAAAAAGGTTTTGTTTTAAAATTTTTTTTCCCTAAAACATGTACAGACAAAATTGGATCTGATTATCCAAGAGATATCACTTGGTAAGTGCTTTGCAGGAAGTATGCAAGGGTTTAGTCAAGGAAAAAGGAATGTGCATTCTAGCTAGACCCAGCACGTTCAACTTCAGAAAAAATCCCAGGACCAACCACATAGCCACTACAAACGATTGCCTTGCCAGCAAAGGCTGTGCACTGGTTCATAAGGTATAATTATATGTGCCTTCATCAATGCAGAGGTGCAGAGAGATGTGAAAGATAATTAATATGAATCAGTACTTTCTGAGAGTCAAATTATTTGCAGACTAGTCCTTATTTTTTAGGCCAATTTAATGATTTTTCCTCCTTTTTCTAGTATGCCGAAAACTGGAAAAATGTTCAGCAGAACATTAATGCTATCTGAAGCACTTAATTGTATAATGTATTCCTTATGATGGCCTATCTTTTCAAAATAACCCTTTGGGTGAAAAAGAGCAGCATTTATCACTCCTACATCAAAGTTTCTCAACCTTGGCACTACTGACATTTTGGACCAGATAACTCTTTTTTGTGGAGGACTGGCCTGTGCATTGTAGGATATTTAGCAACATCTCTGTCCTCCAGCACTAGGTACCAATAGCAACTCTCCCCCCCAACCCCCAAGCTATGACAACCAAAATGTCCCTAGACATGGCCAAATGTCCCCTGGGGAGCAAAAGTGACCTCCATTGAGAACCACTGCTCTAAATGTACAAAGACTTACATGAAAAGTAACTTTCTCAGTCACACCAAATTCTTGGTCAAGCTTGGAATAGAAACCAAATCTTCTGACTTCCAGATCAGTGTTATTCATGCTAGAATGCAATCTTTTTTCTAGACATAGCCATTGTCTAATAGACATGTTTTTTAAAATGCACTCGGATAGCTCACTGCATACAATTCCAGTCACTGGACTACTAAATTATTCCTAAATTACCTCTCACAAGACAACCTATAGCAAACTTATAGGGTAGAAAAATGTCTAAGAAAACTGAATCAAAAGAGGAGAAAGGTAAATCATTAAATTACTTTTAAAAGGATTCTTTATATTAATGATAAACATCACCTTTAAAAAAATTATCTAGTATAACACGTTTCTTTGAAAAATATCATGGCCCTCTATAGCAAGTCTTTCAACGTTGTGTGTGACCTGTAAAATTAATTTCATCACTGTTGACTAATTATGAAAATGTACGATGAATTTTCATATCTGTAGAAGAAATGTCAGCTTTTGATGCAGAGATCCCAATGTGGTGGGCTATCCACCACAGTAAGTGATAATATTCTAGGCCAACTTGAGCCTTTACCTTATGAGTTTGAGAAGAGTAAACCTGCTGTGATCTCAAAGTGTCAGGCTACTGTTACGACTCCTTCAGAGAGTTGATGCGCGCACAGATCTTTAGGGCCGGGCCCAGCTTGATATTCATGGCGCTCATAAGATGGTCTTCCTTTAGCAAGAGAAGGGCCTGTCCGTCAATCTCCTGTGCTCTGAACTCATCTGCGATATCTTGGCAGCCTGGAATTTCAGCAGAGGGATGGAGTGAGAATTAACACACATTTGGATGTTACTCCTAACAGTCACAATTATGCTTTTACTGGGCCTGAGTATCTGAAATACAGGCTGAGAAACAAATGAGATTTATTTATCGTAGGCTTTCTTGGGTTCACTCCTGAAGAAGTGAGCATTTCCTGGTATTCTGAAAATAAGAATTAATTTGAAATCCAGGTAAAGCAATTTACTTGGAATTGTTGTTCTAAAAATATTATAGAAATAATTAGATGAGTCAGGTAAAATATACAGATTGATCAGTCCAGATATAACATACTTTCACAAAAAGGAAGATGGTGTCACCTCAAAGCATGCCACACATATAACAAGTTTGGATGAATTCGTTATTATACCTCATCAACTCATCTTTGTAAAATATGTCCTTCACACATAGATACAGAGAAGTAAAATATATATTCTACCATTTCAGTAACAATTTAGGAATATTTTCTTAAGTACTAGAGTACCGCTTTCATTATCATTTATACCTTATGCTAATTTACAACCTTCAATTGCCAAGCACATCTAAAACTTTTATTGTTCACTCAGCCAGAACCAAACCATCAAGACTGTAGTATCAATCTACTGTGATGCTGCTGAAATGTATTACACCGCTTGACTTGTATGATGACTTGTATGTAGACTCATTTCTACTTCAAATCTTAAATCACTGGATTTAAATTCATCTTCCCTTTGATAAGAAAACATAAATTCTTATTGAAATTATGAGCTTGCTAACTAATCTCTTAGCAAATAACCAATATTTTAGCTCTCAGTCTAAACCAGGCACTTCAGCAGGTAACAACGCTAGCATCTACTTGAACCTCAAATGTTTATTATCTACCGAATTTTGCACGGCCAGGTTACTCACTAAACTTGCCCACTAAGGGTAAAGACACAGCCAGGAAAGTAATGAATTAAGGAACCACGAGAGAAGTAAATGAAAAAAATGTGGAAGCTTCCTTAAAAGAGACAGTAAAATTATAAAAATGAATTTAAGAATAAAAACTAACGGCTTAAGGTCTTTTTATTTTACTCAAATCAGCATTCTAAGGGAAATCACGAAGATACAGAAATGGTTACATGATACCTTTGGATACCACAACTTTGCTGGAATGATTATCTTTCTATAGCAAAGGTGTCATCCTCTTGTTTATAGAAGATAATGAAGTCACCCCCATAACCAAACACAAAGCACTGCAGGTATGAAACGCATATATTTTTGGGTAAGTGAAGGACTGAATGAGTGAATAAACAAACAATGAACAAAAACAGAATCTGCCACAGAGGAGCTATCTGTAAAGGTAATACAAACATTTTTTTCTGCATTCAGCTGTGTAGCCATCTTTTTCTCCTGGTTCTTTCTTTTCCCATCTTCTCTGTTGGTTGTATCTTTCCTGGTCCCTATATAGCAGCCGGGTTTTCGATTTCTCTATTTTAATAATTTCTCAGACTTTTAAAAACTGACATTTCAAAAGTACCCTATGCAAAGTTTTTATGGTTTTGCCCATTTACCATATAAAAGAAACTATATAGTTAAAATGAGATTACTCACCATAGAAAAGCCCCTTTTCTTTTCCCAGAGGTAGCTCTCAAAACTGGGCAGACAAAACTGACTAATCTTGCATCTAGTTGTGACTTCATCCTTCTTTTTATGAAAGAACTAATGTTCTTCTCTCTTCAGTCTTACTTACAAGAACACGGGAAAGAAAAGAAGAGAGAGAAAGATAGGGTAGGACTTACTTAGATTCAGAAAACAGGAGCAGTGAGAAGTAATGAAGACCATAAGAGCTACATTTGGGAATAGAAACAAGGAGTTCTCCGTGAGAAAAATACACAGCATGTTCTTTTCCCTCCGTATTATGAGATCTCTCTTCAAATGTCTTCTTGTAGGTAGACAGGAAATGTATTAGCAAAATAATTTTTTAAAAAGTGCTTTTGAAAACAGCATGCTCAAATGGGAATGCATTATCTTCAGAATTTTAGATTACAACTTAAGCCAATCACAAAAAATGGTAGTTATATTATGCATCAGTATAGAAATGAGAAAATAAAGTGACTTAAAAAAGAAAAAGGAAAAACAAAAACAAAGCAGAAGCAAATATACTTCCAGAAACTCATGAGAGAAAAACAAAAAAAAAATTCAAGATGCTCAAGGTATACTGAGCTAAAGCTCACTGAGTTTCTGATATTAGAATCTACTTCTGTAAAACGGCTGGCACCCCAGGGACACACACAAAACCTATCCCTACTGCGGCCACCAGTCGGCTCAACTGACTTTACGTCACCAGAAGCAGCTGTGAGGACGGGCATGGACCTCTGCACATGGACGTGGGGCCCAAATGAACTTCGCAAGTGTCCAGTTACTTTTCCAGCTAAACCCAAAACAAAAACACCCCCGCACAAAGTGACCTCAGTAAGGCTGGTGAAAAGATTATCACCTGTCACTCACTACTATAGAATAAACAAGTCCCAGTATTAGTATTATAAAAACCAGTAAACAGTTGTATGTTTTTAGATGATTCCTATTTTATATGCCTACAGAGAAACCAAATCTACTGCGGATTAACAGATCAATAAACAGAATAACCTGATCTTTGCCAAAGGCGGTTCACAGTAACAAGGAAGAGTCTAAGAAGATAATTGCAGTTAACTGAAAATAAAAACAACTGTTCTTGTAGAGAGCTTTTTAATGAACAAAAATTCAGAGGAAAATAATTTTTCACCTTATTAACAGCTCTGAGATTTGGATGTACTGCATACCAGCTCTATGTCCCACCAGGACGGTTCACAAGACGACATTATACAAAGAGAAGAGAAAACCCTAGCAGTGAATATTAAGTGTCCTGATAAAAGAGGGAAGCCTATCCTCAACTAGAAAGAAACAAAATACAAGAGATTACAAAATTTAGAAGCTTGTTCATTCTATGAGAAAAGCTCGGGAGGAGACTACTCAGAAAAAACAACAACAAGAAAAACCCAGCCCTGAATGAGCTGAAAGAGGCTCAAAAGGAAGTTTACAAAGGCCAGAAGAGGACAGAAAAATGAAGATAAAGGCTTTTTCTGGTATGAGATCTACCTTAAGCTACAGGCATTCTTCAGAGAAAAACTTCGAGAAACAAGAAATAACTGATCACACATAATAAGCTTGTTATTTAGCTTGTCAAAGCAGTTTGGGAATACTCCCAATTAATCAGTAAAAGAAAAGCCGAGTTATATTAAGCAGACTCCTGAACAGTACCAAGCAGTTCTAAATTATAAAGCAGTCCCTTTTTAATGATATATAATATTCTCTACACAACTGGCAACAAAATTAAGTGTCTTGAACTCAATAGGACAAGCATCTCAAATTATAAGCAATAATAATAATTTTTTAACTCAAATGGACCAAGACTGAGACAAAAGAGTTAGCCTTTGTTCTGATAAAGCAGCCAAGAGAAGCTTCATGGCTAATGGATGCTGAGGAATATTAGCCCTAAAAACAAGCACAGGAAGTGATAGGAAAATCAGCAATATCTATTATTTATTAATTATATGGTCAACTACTTTTCTCGGGATATGAACCAATCTTCCTCCCCTAAGGAAAATAAATACTTTCCTCCAAATGAGAAATCAGGCTAACAAACAGCTCATGGCCCACCTGGAAGACAGACTACTTTCGAAGACGACAGAATCAAAGTCCAGTCCCAGGGGATCAGTATAGATCCCAGCACTAATTCTCAAGATACCTACACTGGTCTAAACACTAAAATTTATTTCATTAAATCTTAAAACCACAACCAGTGAAGACTCACCATCCTCTAATACATCAGTTTCACAGCAGATTCTAAATCCACATGGCTAGCACTTAACTCACACCTAAGTTTTCTGAGGCGTGTACTCAAAAATCTTACTATGAAAAATTTATCCTCTCTTTAAACAATTTTATCTTTCTTTAAAAGTGACCATATCTAAGTTTCTTTAAAAATAACTTATTTAGCATTTCTAAAGCAAGTTATTGAAAAAATAATTTACTAACACTTCATAGAGCTCTGTATATAAGGTCAAATGGCTGATATGTTTTTACAAAGCAGTAGTACTTCTGAATATACTTTCTTGACTCACACAGCACATTAGCCATAAGTTTGCTTCTGAGACAGTGGTCACCTTTATAGAAAGAATAATTAGCAAAAATAGCCAGATTAATTTTAATAAGTCTGTAGATAAGTTCAAAGTGGATGTATTTTTCTGGAAAGCTTGTGTCAAGAGATGGTTCCATTTACAATAAAACCAAAATGGGACAACCATTAAAAAAAAACTCCTTGCTTTCCATATTCGTAAGGTCAAATTGAATAAGATTTGCTGATTTAAAAAAATACATTGTCCTACCATATATAACTAGTGTGGGTCTCATCATGAGCAAAGGTGTAGCTGTCTTTAGCATCAGCCCCTTGGAAAAAGGGGGATACAAAAGATTATTGTTGCATTAAAGGAAAAAGATAAAGACTTAAGCTGACGGAAAGAGTGCCAAAATGAGAGAGCCAACAAACACAAATAAGGAAGTTACCCTCAAATCAGAACAGGATACCATAACTGAATTCTAGTTGTCTACTTAACAAATCAAATTTCAGAAGTGTTTTTGATGTCTACTTATTGCAAAGAATCCAAGAATGCAGCTTCCCTTAAAAGAACCAGCTTTTTTAAAAAGCAACTAAATTTTACCATATTCTAAAAGGTCTTGATTAGCTTTCAAAAATGTAAAAAAAAATTATGGTCTCTCTTATTTCATTTAAAAAAGGTTAAATTAGGAAATAAGGAGAAAATAGAATAGAAAAGTAGAAGAGCAGAAGGGAAGAAGTGTCTGACTCAATCTCTCTACTGACCTCTCGAGAGAAATCAGACTGAAGAGAAGAGAGCACCTTTAATATCTTCACCGGCTGAGGGGTCACAGCAGAAGCAGGACTAGTCAGTTTTTATCGACTTGGGGGGTATGAGAAAACACCCAGTTGTGCTGAGGGAATAAGCAAGAGGAAAGAGATCACATTTCAATAGCAAATGCCATTTAATTAACACATACACACAGTACCTCTCTAGCCCTTTTGTGCACTAGGTGTGGATGGATATAACATCATTCCTGTGTGTGAATGCACAAGAAAAATATTAAGGCCAAAGTGGTGAATTACATACCAGGCAAAGAATGGATGAAGGCCCAGACATCATCCACTGTCCATATAGATGGCTCTGTTTGTGCAACTGGTAGCAAGTCATTGTTCTCAGGCATCTTTCTAATTCTCACATCCCGAAGCTCACGTTCTCTTTCCCGCTCACTTTGCCTGCGCAGACGTGTTGTCATAGCAGATGGCACAGGATCTTCATGAGAAGCCAAGTCTTCTTCTGCAGATGGATAAGTAATTGGAAGCTGGAAAACGTAGTACAAGTAAAATACAGCATTGCACTTTCCTTGCATTTCTGAAAAGGGTATTGTACATTGAAGCAAGGTTTCTACAGACCTGCCTAAGGAGATGTTCTCTTGCTGCCCCATCAGGGCCACTTGGACGACGGCCACGATGACCAAGACTTTGATTATCAGGCTTACGATTCCAACGACTAAGTGCAAATTTTTTAGAACAGCTAACATTGTACCTAAGAAATTCAAGTAAGAAAAAACATTAAATGATCCACGAGACGTTCCATTTACTATTTAATTATGACTTCAAAGTGCAACTGTGAATGAGTCTCATACACTTAAGAACTATAATACCTCAGAAAGTAAACCGTAATATTTACTGGATTTACTTACGCTAAGAGTCAAAAAACGGTCTCTGTATCTATCATAATATAGCTCTCAATATAATATTGGCCACCTATTACAAGGTATTGATATTTTCTCCTAAAACTAGCATGACAGTGGGAAACTTTCTGCAAAATACATAGGATAACTGATTTTTTATAGCAGCAAAATAATTCAAGGTTCCAGCAGATAAAGAAGTTATGAATTAACTATTTAGATGTTCAAACTGATACTTTCCCCAAGTAATCATTTCTGAAGAGAGATTACTAAAAAGAGCTTAATATAGTAGAAAGGTGGAAATCTCAAACGGCTAGTAAAAGATTTCTCAAATGTTACTAAAATCAAAAAGTGAAAACGTAAAGTTGAGACTTCAAAGTTACACAAGGAATTCATAGCTCTCATTATCCGGGAAATTCACAAGTACATATTTCTTTAAAATTGGCTGAAAGATTATTTCTATTTTATAAAAATAAACTCTCTAATATTTTCGAAGATACACCTTTATCAGGCATGATGACAACTTAAAAGAGTCCACTGCCATTTAGTGGATTCCCAAGCCCTAGAACAGGGGCCAGCAAACTTTTTCTATAAAGGGCCAGATAGTAAATATTTCAGTCTTTGTGGGCCACAGAAGTCTCTGTCACAACACTCAACTCTGCATTTGTAACGTGAAAGCTGCCACAGACAATAATGAATGAGCATGGCTGGATCCCAATAAAACTTCATTTAGTAACACTAAAATGGGAATTTCACATAATTTTCATGTGTCACGAAATATTATTCTTCTTTGGTTTTTTTTTCAACCACCTAAAAATGTGAAAACTATCCTTAGCTCTGGGGCCACACAAAAATAGGTTATAGGAAGGACTCAGCCTGGTCAATTTGCCAACCCCTTCCTTAGAAAGAAGAGTAAAAGGAAAGAATCTAAGAAACAAAATTTCTGAGAAGCTACAGAAAGGCTAAGAAAAACATGTGCAGTTCCTTTTTTACACACATAAAACTGCCAATGTGATTTCTTATTTTCAAAACTCTTTTGCTCTAAGATGATTTTTCAGGAAAATGACAAGAATAAATCCCAATAAACTTTGCTATTGACAACTGTTCTAGACCAATATCCAGATTCCAAAATAAATTTTTCTCATTCTATGTTTTATGAAAATATCAGGAGGTAGAAGTAAGGGGTACTATGAGAATGAATAGGCTATTTTTCCCCTAGAAATACAAAAAAGAAAAAAGTGTCGTGAAGGCCACTTCATTTTACCCTAAAACAATTCAGCAAGCTCCTCTGTGCTCACTGTGCTCATTTGTGGACCCAGCTCTGTAGGTTTCTGACTTCCATTCACATCAATTGACAAAACTTCTTTCCCCATTACTACAGGGAGGAGAGACTACACTTGCTGTTTAGTCCCTAAGTATGCAGACAGCCAAGACAGGCAGCTAGACAGACGTGCAAACAGCAGCAGCTCTTCCTGACTAATTGATCCTCTCTTCCAAGCTCTCCCATCTGCATTTCCCTACGTTAGGACCCCAGCCCTCTAAAGAGATTTCACCCAACGGTATAATAACGTGACAGCTTAGCAATCATCTCTGGGAGAAGACTGATGATAGCGTACAATGTCCTGAAATATTTCTAAATAGTCAAGAAGTTTAAAATATTATGAAAGGCAATGCTTTTCCCTCAGAACTTTTAATCACTTAGAATCAGAAAGCCACTCTTCTTTCCTGTGGTATATGCAAACTGGAAAACTCACAAGTTAAAACAGGAGTTACATAATTTGATCAAGACTATCAATGACATAAAAGAATATTTGTGTAAGAGATCGACAATTGAGAAGCCAAGGAACTCACTTTTGAAGAAAAATACTTTATTACTTATTCAACTTATTTTACTAAATATATTTTAGTGGCACCATACTAAATAATATGTTCAAGCAAGAAATTCCCTAAATGCACACAATTAAGACCTTACATTCTTTGAGAGAATAATCAGTTTTTGGAACAGAGAACAAATTTCAAAATAATCAACCTGTCCATATACTTCACCTTAGTAGTAAATACCTATATTTGGATTTATTATCAGAATCAGAGGTGTTTTTTGGGGGGTTTTTTTTTTAGTGAGGAAGATTGGTCCTAGGCTAACATCTGTTGCTAATCCTCCTCTTTTAGCTTGAGGAAGATTGTCACTGAGCTAACATCCATGCCAATCTTCCTCTATTTTATGTGGGATGCCGTCACAATGTGGTCTTATGAGCTGGGCTAGGTCCACACCTGGGATCCGAAACTGTGAACCCCACGGTGGCAAAGCACAGCGCTCGAACTTAACCACTATGCCACCAGGCCGGCCCCTTTTTTCTTTTTTAATGTAAACTAAACTTAAAACAAGATCAATGAAGATACTAAACATTTCTTTTGTCATTAATACTATTTACCTATAATATTGCTATTGAAAATACATATTTAAAAAAGACAGATGTTTTGCTATCTGATAATGTAACAGTATGGAGAACTTATGCTGCAGCTGTCCTACTTAGAAACTTAAATAAGATATGGCTAAAACAAATGAAAACATTTTAAAACAAAACAAAGTAAATTCAGGTATGTCAATATTGATAAAACAATCTTGTGATTAAAGAAATATTGTTTTGATACCTCCAGGACTAGCAGTCTATTCACAGGAGGGATTCTCCTGACTACGCTTACCACAGCAGAGTGCTACTTCAACATGAGATCACACTGTAAGACTCATGTCAGTGTTATGAATGTGGAATTTTCACAGAGCAATATTTAATAACTAAATAGCAAAGGAGCTCCAGATAATGCCTATTTGATATTATTCCTCTACTTTATAATATCTAGTTTTGACTACTAGTAAACTCCACAAGTTTTCTGGTTTTGTTACAGTGGTTGTTGGTTTGTGCTTTATGAAATTCAAGAGAAAAGAAATACCTTTTGGCACATGACATAGTGCAGAATCGTTTTGACCGCAGAAATTCATTAGCATATCCCATCTTCCCACAGAATTCACACTTGAGCAACTCACTGTCCATTTCTTCTAAAGTCTCTAAAAAAGAAGGAAAGAAAGGAAAAAACTTCCAAAACTTTGTGGCAAATTTTCTTTCATCCCCTACTTTGTGTGGCTGCTGCTAATTCAGACCCTCCAGCAAACGTAAAGGCGTGGTCTTTTAACTTTCCAGTCCACAGCCACTGTGGCAGGCAAAAGCCTCCAACAGCAATGCCCCCACTGGCCCCTCCTGCTCCTGCATAAAAACTGTATAGAGTTTTCTCTATATAAATAAACAAGACACTGTTAAAGGTTCATTTTGCTAAGAATCTAGCATGTCTAAAATGTGCAAATAACTTTCTTAAGCACTGTAAGAGAAATGAAGATGAGTACAACAAAGTCACTGCCTTTCAGGAGAAACACTTTCAAAAAGCAGCATGTGGGATAGGAATTCTGGTACGTTGTGCTGTGGAGATACATAGCAGAGAACACGTAACTCTAACTGGAGAGAATGAGGACGCCTTCAAAAACAACGTCAAATTTTGAGATGTCTGATTTAATAAAATAATTAACACTTAAAGATCTGCAGTGCACAATAGAATATATAAAGATGTATATATCTAATTATAAAATAGTCTCTTTTAGTTATATTGTATTAAAACAAAAATAATTTAATCTTAAAAATCACCAACAATTTTGTAATTTCTAACGTCTACCCCTCTTTGTCAGGGTGCTCTCTATTAGTCCTTCCTCCGCCTCTACATCCCTACTACATCCTTCCTCCACCTCTACATCCATGCCATACCTCAAGCCATACCACAGGACCCAAAGAAACTTCCTACCTAAATCCTCAGGTATTCAGCAGGGGTCACCTATAAGCACGCAACTTAATCTTGATGATCCACAGTTTTCCCATCTGTAAAACAGGGTTTATAATACCTTTCCCAAAAAAATCACAGTGAAGATTAAATGAGTGCCCAGCAAGGAGTAGGCATAAAAAGTGACAGTTCTATTTCCTACTTTCCACATAGGAACTAAGAGTACCAAGACCTGTAATAAATGCTAAGAAATACTTCAGGGGCCGGCCCCATGGCCAAGTGGTGAAAGTTCTGCACACTCCACTTCGGCGGCCTGGGTTCACAGGTTTGGATCTGGGATGTGACCGACTCCACTCATCAGCCATGCTGTGGAGGCATCCCATGTACAAAGTAGAGGAAGACAGGCACAGATGTTAGCTCAGGGCTAATCTTCCTCAAGTGAAAAAAAAAGAGGAGGGGCCGGGTGGCACAACAGTTAAGTGTGCTCGTTCCGCTTTGGCGACCCGGGGTTCGCCGGTTTAGATCCTGGGTGCGTACCTATGAACTGCTTATCAAGCTATGCTGTGGCAGGCATCCCACATCTAAAATAGAGGAAGACGGGCACGTATGTTAGCTCAGGGTGCACCTTCCTCACAAAACAAAAAAAACAAGAAAAGAAATACTCCAATGAAAACTGTTAAGTTCTTAAATCTACCATATTTTGCCATTTTCTTGCATCATCATAATTCCTATGCCAAGTCATACAAAATATGGAAAAAAAAGCACTCCACTAACTAAAGCTTTTAACTGTGAGCTCCATATATGCTTTTCTATGCTATTCGTTTAACCAAGACTTGTTAAGCTGAAGAAAGGGACTCTGAAATGTAGACATGGATGATAAGTTCTCACTAAGTTCAAGCACTCACATCATCCTAGGGTAACGAGAGAGCAAATGGCAAAGTGTTAAATCAACTGAGGGCTACTAAAAAACATACTGTGAAATAATATTTGAAGATCCAAGGGACATCCAAATACACTGTCATGACTGATCAAATCATGAAGTAGCAAGTGATCATTTTCAGAACTTACCAAGACTACCTCCATAAGCAAAAGTCATCAATTTGGTAGCAATGAGGAAGAAATAGTCTCAAAACAAGTAAAATAAAAATTGCTCCTTCTAATGACCTAGAGGAGGCTTTCTCACAGCTGTGGCCCAACAACACATTCCTGGGACCTGATGTCACAACTTCCAGGAGTATTGATTTTACTTGGTCATGCTTGTAACCTGACCTGACCTTGAAAAGCCTGTACCAGAGACAGAACCTCTCACTCAAGCACCACTGCCACCAATCTGGACCCAAAGAATCCATTCTTCAAGTTGTTCCATTTCCAGTATACCAAAAGCTTTATTTCAAAAGTTTTTATTAATCAACATAACAATATGCAACACTTGAAAACAGGTTAGAATACCTTATGAAGGAGAAGGAAATGTTTTGCTGGTGAGAGAGGGGAGATCACAACCAGGTAGGGTCTAAGGGTTAACAACTAACAAAAATAGAATAGCAGTTTTACTTCCCATAAAGAAGAGACGAACATGATCAGATTTTAAAAATCTCTGTTTTAGAATGTTTGGTCAGAATTTTCACAAATTTGTTACCAAGGCTACTTTTTCACATTTGTGAATAAAAAATTACAGAGCCAAATGAATTAAAAAAGTGCTGCTTTAGCTAGTAAAGATGGGATTCTATGGCAGAGACAGCTGGTAATTCTCCAATATCTATTCTTCGCTGTTCTCCCACAGTAACAAAATTCTAGTTTTTAGCTAGGAATATGGCCACTGAGAATAAAAACTATAGTTTCTGCCCTAGGTGTGGCCAATTTCTGACCAGTAACATGTGAATGGAAATGCTTGCAAATTCCAGGTGGTGACTTTTCCCCCATCTCATTGATTAGAATGTGATCATGAAGAATAGCTATTTTGGAAATGAGAGCAACATTCTTCCTACCTTATGGTAGAACCATAAGACACTGGGAGCTTAGGTGCCCAACACCATGGAGCTCCGGACTGCTACCTTTGGGCTATGTCAGAGAAAATTAAACTTCTACCCTACTTAATCCAATATTATTCTAGATCTCTAATGCAGTGGCCAAACATATATCCTAACTAATAGAGGTTCTGAATTTTTTAAATTTTCCTGAAGACTTGAGATCACTTGAGGATGGGCAGCAAAGAGAGAGGGAATGAGACAGAAACCATGATTGGTGTGATGACTGACCAGGGAAGACAGAAGATATTTTGGTAAATCACAATCCATCAGTTGGAGATTCTGGATACAGAACCAGTCCAAACAGAAACATAGTTTAGAGCCAGACCTGATTGCCTAGTGGTTAAAGTTTGGCACACTCCACTTTGGCAGCCCAGGTTTGGTTCTCGGGTGTAGAACCACACCACTCATTTGCCAGTAGCCATGCTGTGGTGATTGCTCACAGAGAAGAACTAGAAGGACTTACAACTAGAATATACAACTAGGTACTGGGGCTTGGGAAAGGAAAAGAAAAAAGGAGGATGATTGGCAACGGATGTTAGCTCAGGGTGAAGCTTTCCCAGCAAAAACAAAAAAGAATCATAGTTTATCTTTTAAAAAGAGAATAATCTTTACATTAAGTTTTTTTATACTGAATTAAAAACCATATATACTACTAAAACCAAAGCCACTAAATAAGTGACCTCACCACTTCACCCTATAGTACTTACCATAAACACAGAGACAGAAACATTCTATAAAATTACCTTTGGAAATTAAACTATGAAGTATTTAAAATTTTGGCACATTTTTATGTAAATATATCTCCACTATGAAATAGATCAGTCATCTATTTGTATTGAATATATTTAACATTGTGTAAATTTAAAGTGTACAACATATTAATTTGATACATTTACATATTATGGTTGCTGTTTTAGCTGTATTTAGCACCACTATTACACTGCGTAATTATCCTTTCTTTTTAGCAGTTGGGATCATTTTTAGTCTCTTAGCAAGTTTGATGATTGTAGTTACAATATTATTGTCTACATTCAGTATACTGTACATTAGCTCTCTATGGCTTATTTACTACACATTGCATGGATTAATCATCTTGAAATCTTCCTTTTGCTTACTCTGGTATTTTCTTCTGTTAAACTACCCTTCGCCTTGTCTTCCATCAATCCTTCCCTTCCTCTTCCCACCATGACTACAAGTATCAATTATGTGCCAAACCTTTACATTCATCCTACAGATGACCAGCAGTTTTCAAAAACTCATGTTCATGTCATCTGCCTAAAAATCTTCAGTAACTATCCTCTTGACAAGATAACTCCTAACTCCTTAATTGAACATCCAAGGTACTCTAGAATCTGACTCTGCCAGTCTTACTTCCCACTACTTCTCTAACCCACTGCCTACTTCACTGCCCCCTGCTGAAGTTAGATAGCACTTGGCACACCCTTCATGCATTTACTCATGGTGTTCTAACCTGAAAGTTTCTTCCTGTTATCTTAAATCTATTCTTTATCATCCAAGTTCCATGTCAAATCCCATTTCTAGAGAAAATTCACCAAACTGGCAATAATGTCAACCAGTTTTAAAGTCCCAAGTTCTTACTGTTTATATAATTCATTTAAAAGTTACCATATGTTTCTCCTTTGTTATCTTTCTATTATGGAGACTTGCTAGCTCCTACCAGATCAGAAGCTCTGATGAGGTCCTAGTACAGCCTAGCATGTGCTGTATGTCTATTGTTTTATAAAACATGAGTACCAAGGGATATGCCATGAAGCTTTCTAAGCAGTTTTCCATTTTTCTTTAATGTGTGCACAAAAGAGGGCACATTATATACACTGTCCAGCAGAGAACTTTCACTTATATACTTCTTGTAGATATACGCAAGAAACAAAAATCCCTGCACATTCATCTTTACTACTCTTCATCTTAAATGAAACATTTTCTCAGATAAAATAGTATGCATAACTAAAAGCAAATATTCAGGAATGAAATTAAATTCGTAACAACAAAAGGCAAAATGTAGATATTATTTGAATCCTGATTTGAACAAAATAACTATAAAAGGACATTTATACAATTATATAATTGGGGAAATCTCAATATGAATCAGGTACTAGAAGACATCAAAGAATTATTATTGTTTTGTGCGATAGAGTATTATAGTTATATAAGGCAATGTACATTTTTTAGAGATGCACAATGAACTATGTCTCAGTGAAACAAAATGAGGACTATGATTTTTTTTTAAACAGAAGTAAGAAAAGAAGGGAAAGAGAAAAAGCAACAGAGAAAGAGAAAGAGAAAGAGAAAGAGAGAAGCGAGGGAATGGAAGGAGGAAAACAAAACGGATGGACAAGCTAGTGTGGCAAAATAACGTTTGAAATTGTTGAGTCTGGGTGAGTGGGGATTCATTATATAATCCTATCTAATTATATGTATGTTTGAAATTTTTCATAGTTAACATTCTTTTAAATAAAAAACATCAAATTGAACTTAATGTAAGTTAACAGTAAAAACCTAATTTTATACTATCATACTCTTTGCTGTTCAAATAAAAAGTAAAACAGTGATGAATACATTGCAACAGTTTATAAATTACCAACAAAGACAGAGATGCCTTCCTTTTAAGAATTAAGAAAACTGTGGGCTAAGACAATATCTATTTTGCTTACTATCATGCTATTTTGCTTAATTTAGCAAAGTACAGGCACACAGGACATGCTTAATAAGTATTTGCAAAATGAAATCAATTTTAGATGAAATATACTAATATATTGAGGATAATTACTCAGAGACAAATGTTAATTAATTCACTACTATAGAGCCCTGACTATACTAAATGCTATTCGATTAAACTGAACCGTATCAATTGCAGGGCCATGATGAGAATCAATAAATGATAAAATATTTCATTTTTGCATTGGTGTTTGTTTTCCCGCAGTCATTTTGTATATCACTTTGACTTTTATGGAACATTCACTATTAGAACAAAGTGTATAAAAAAGGATTCCTTGACATTAAGGAGATTTACCATTATTTTTCTCTTTGAACAAATTTAATCACCTCTTGATGAAAAAGTACATCCTTAATACAATTGTAATATCCACCTGATAGCACACATCAGAATATGGAAGTCTAAAACCAAATAACTCATAGGCTCTAAACTTTAAAGCAAACTCAGTAAAACAGTCATTTACTTAAAGTCTGCTTAGAAAAACAAAGCCAGAGAATTGGTTTTTTGATGCTAAAATTCTGTATTACTTTCGTATATAATGGAACTTTTCCCACCCACACTCTTCAAAAGTCAAACTGACATAATACAAATTAACAACAGTCTTGCTATTTTAATTATTTGGCCATTAAGAGTCTGGTTAGCTTTCCCATTTTAGTGAAATAAAGTATTACGTGAGAATAAAAGTGAATACTTCAAGTGAAAAATCTGTGCAGAATAAAAATCCATGTTATGTTTCAAGTAGTAAAAGTCAAAGTTAACTCAAATGGTATCAAGTAACATCTACGAACCTTCAGCAATCATGTCTTCCATCTCCGTGTCAGACGAATTATCTGCATGTTTTGTATTATTCTGTAGCTCTGGCTGAACACACACAGAATTTATCACCTGAGTATCCAGGAGAGGCCTTTTTTTCACAGGCTGTTCTATTAGCAAAGATGAACGACTCACCTTAAAAGAGAGAGAATAAAATGAAGTAATCTTTGAAAAGACTTTCAGAAATAACTTGGTTAAAAAACCTTTTGAAATGAATGCTATCTGTGATAATCTACTTGTTCAACTGATCAGATCCATTCATTAAATGCTTTATTCCCTAAGAAAAGGTTAGACAACCTGGACAATAACTTTCTATGCCAGGGAATCAGCAGTACAGATACTTCAAAGTCTCCGTCAAACAGAACCTAGTGTCCCAGTTTAGGCAAGCAGTTAAAAAAAAAGTCTTAAGAAATCAGTAATAAATTTTGATTAGCCAGCATCCTTAATTTATTTTTTTTCTGCCACAACTTGTAAGATTTTTCCTGTACAAAGGTTTTTATTTGTAGGGTTACTTCCTCAGGATAGATCATTATTGTATGTACTTTAAAGACAAGGGAACTAATGTTCAAAGTGTTTAGGTGATTTCTTCACAAAAGCAGAATCAGGACTAGAACTCAAGCCTCCTAACTCTAGTTCACAACTTAAACCATTATAATCACAAAAAGAAGTGGAAAAATCCTCAAACATTAACATTAATATCAACAACAACAAAAAATTAGGGGCTGGCCCACTGGCACAGTGGTTAAATTCATACACTCTACTTTAGCAGCCCAGGGTTTGGATCCCAGGCACAGACCTATGCACCACTCATCAAGCCACGCTGAGGTGGCATCCCCCGTACAAAGCAGAGGAAGACCGGCACAGGTGTTAGCTCAGGGACAATCTTCCTCAGCAAAAAGAGGAAGATTGGCAATGGATGTTAGCTCAGGGACAATCTTCCCTACCAAAATAATGATGATAATAATAATAATGCTACGTGAATAATTTAAAAAATACAAATTTACTTGCTACTTACAGGAAATGGCTCCAATCCCTCCTGAATCACAAAGCCTTCAATAACATGGGTCAAAATCTGTGGTTTAACGATAGCCTGTGGAGGTTTGTTTTCTATACTGGGAATGCTACTGGGCATAGACGTACTATTGCTCCTTGTGGTAGCAGCTGGAAGTAAGAGTGGAGGCGGAGGAACAGAAACATGTGAAGGGTCTGATGGAGATTTAATGACTGAAGCACTGACTGATGCCACAGCAGGTAATTCCACTTGCTCTGAAAAGAAAAAAGTCATTTTTTTGATCTTTAGCATTCTGCCCAGGCAAATATGAAATAAAATTCAAGAATAAACATTAATAACAATAACAGTTAATATCTGGCATTTTAAAAAACCATTCTAAGAACTTTATATTTATTGTCTGATTTAATCTGCACAATAACCTTATGAGATAGAAACCACTCTACCCCTACTTTACAGAAGAAGGGAATAGCTTGCTCAAGGTTATCATTCCAACCTTGGTTAAAAAGAACTGTCCCATAAAACATGAAAATGTTTTAGAACGTCAATTTAAGAATAATTACTAAAATAACTGCTTTTTAAAAAAATTTTAAGCTACACAGATGTTAAATTCCTTATGTTCCTTTTATCTATTCTAAACAGTATGGGAGAAACAAGTACTTTGAAAGTATGCTTAAATAACAAGGATCCTGAAATCCACAGACTAAGCAAAGATTCTGATGAATTACACAGGGCATCACCTTTACTTCAAGCAGTAAGGCTAATCCAACTCCATGCACACATGTTCTTTGGTGTTTTCTTTACAACTCTCCAGTGGCACTGTATATGTCAATTTGGGGGAACAACTGTAGTACCAGGCAAAGGAAAAATGTTGGGCTGGATCTCTGTGATCCCTTCCCTTCAAACTCTGAAGACCACAATAAGTAGACCAAACAGCCTGTGATGGAGGCTTTACTCACCCATTTGATAGCACCGAAAAACCTTTACTGCATGTACTAAAGTGGAAAGATGGAACCAGTTGATAGCTAGGAATATCACTGACTACAGATATTTGAGAAAAATAACAAAAAAAGAGCATGTGTATAAAGATACTACTACTACTTACTGAACACTTATATGCCAGCTGCTGTGTAAATGCCTTACATGTTGTAACTCTTTTTTTTCTCTTTTTGCTGAGGAAGGTTGTCCCTGAGCTAACATCTGTACCCACCTTCCTCTATTTTGTATGCAGGATGCTGCCACAGCATGGCTTGATGAGCAACGTGTAGGTCCACACCTGGGATCCAAACCTGTGAACCCTGGGCCGCTGAAGCAGAGCGTGCAAAGTTAACTACTATGCCCCATAACACATTTAATCCTCAAAACTAGCCTATGAGTAGGTACTGTTTTTATAGACATGGAAACCAAGACACAGAAAGATAAAGTAGCCTGTCTAAGGGCACAGTTAATAAGTAGTGGAGCTGGGATACTAACCCAGGCAGCCGGGTTCTGGAGACAACGCTCTTAATTGCTATGGTAACTCCTCTCCACCAGCAGTATGGAAGGACTGACACCATTATCAAAGACACTCAAAATATAGCCCAATTCGGTAGAGAAGAAAGAATAGGAATCCCTAAAGTGTAAAAATTCCAGCTAACAAAACAGTGCAGTGATCATCTGTGTAGTCTCAGAAATGGAAAAGCTAACAGTTCACACTTCGCAACTCCGATGTGATTAATATGTAGCTTATCACAGCACTATTATAACCACAAATTAATCTAGCTCTACCAAATAATCCAGCAAGATAAACTGTACTGGAAAACCTGTTTAAAGTCACACAATCCCTTATGAAAAACTAAAAAGGAAAGTCAGTAGAAAATGCTGGTTTGCTGATTTCTGAGAACAAATACACAATTGTACACATGTATTACCAAACTAAGGAACTCAACAAATATCTTATCTATACCCAATCCTCCCATAAACCCCTAGGGGAAAAGAGATAAAACATATAAAATTCTGAAGAGGGACTGAAAGGTATTTTTTCTCTTGGAAGGAAAATATAAATCTATGGGGAACTAGAAAATAAGATAAGGGCCGGCTCCGTGGCCGAGTGGTTAAGTTCGTGCACTCCGCTGTGGCGGCCCAGGGTTTGGATCCTGGCCGCGGACATGGCACCACTCGTCAGGCAACGTTGAGGCGGCGTCCCACATCCCACAACTAGAAGGACCTGCAACTAAGATATACAACTGTGTACAGGAGGGGTTTGGGGAGATAAAGCAGGGAAAAAAAAAAGACTAGCAACAGTTGTTAGCCAAGGTGCCAATCTTTAAAAAAAATAAATAAAATTCTAATGTCCCTTACAGATTCATAGATACTCTGTTACTTTAGAAACATAAAGCTGAATTCAGTATAATTTGGTTTATTCAGAAAATACTGCTTGGTATATGTTCTAATTAATTTTTAGATCATATGTACAAATGTGCCAATTTTACACAGTCCTAAGTTGTGTTAAAAATAGAGCTTTAAGTTACTTTTAGAAGAAGCTAATACCTATTACTTGCCAGATTATAATTAGCTGCTAAAATAGAAAACACAAGAAACAGTAATGTATTACAGTAGAACAAAAACACAGTTATTACACTCTCTGGATTTAAGACAACTGTGGAAGAGAACCCAATTAACTGATAGGACTCTGCCACAGGTCACTCTGCCTCTTTAGTCTCATTTGCTGAGCATGATCTACGGGCTGCTTCTATCTCTTTTTTAATGGGTGCTTCTTGCTTTACAGAATTTTTATAGGTATATGAAAACTGAATCCTGGATGGAAATAAGTCCCTCTATTTTTGTAGGTTAGTTTATTTCACAATTTGATGACAGTTATTCTAAATATCAACCTGTGCTTGCTCCTCCTTCTCACATATTACACAAGAGTATTAAGTATTTACTTCATAGTAAATTAAAGAAGATTCGAAAGTCTACATTCTACTTAGACAATTTAGCCAGAGACGTTCTTGACAGGATCTCAGACTATACTCCTGAGGAAAAAATGTGAAGATATTCTTGTGTCCCAATAGTTCAGAATTATTTACATTTTCTTTGAGTACCATTAGTAATGCTTATTAGGTAAGTAAATCACAGTCACAGTGTGAGGTTACTATCCAATTAAACTTCTATTTTTGCCTTTCTAAATCAAAACTCCAGGAAATCTGCAGTATATGGAAGGTTCCATTTTCAGTGGACAGAAACAACAAAGATGATTAAATTTTTTAGATTTCCTTAAATCCATCTTTTAAGGTATTATTTGGAATAAACAAAGGCAACAACATTAAACTTGTCAAATATTTTATATAAGTTTATTGACTAAAGGTTTCCTATTTTTCAGGAGGGGAAAAAAGTTGCAAGAAAATTGATTTTCCCCCTTCTATGCTTTCCAGAGAAGCACACTGGTAGTGAGAGAAGGAAAGCCAGAGAGAAGGGAAGGGTTAGAGATGTGGCATGCAGAAGAAAAGAAAAGAAAAGCGAAGCAAGGGCTGCCTTGGCAGCAAACAAATCAGTTTCCCATTACAATTTGTTTCCATGCCTGTTATAGTGGTTCTTCTGTGCTGAAAATGATTATGAGGACAATGAGATACTGAATAGAACAGAAGACTCACAACGAGGCCTGAACCAAGATCAGTATCATCTGGATCAGGGGTCAGTAAACTTTCTATAGGGGACTATATGGTCTCCACAACTACTCATCTTTGCCAAAGCAGTGCAAAAGTAGCCACAGAAAATATCTGAACAAACGAATGTGGCTGTGTCAAACAGAACTTTATTTATGGACAAGGAAATTTGAATTTCACACAATTTTTACATGACATGAAACACTACTCTTCTTTTGAATTTTTTTTCAATCACTTAAAAATTTTAAAACCATCCTTAGCTCATGAGCCATACAAAAACAGGAAACAGGAAAGATCTGAAGCATGAGCTATAATTTTCCAACCCCGATCTAAATAAAATATTCATAAATTTAAAAAAACTCTAACTCGGAATCTACCTTTTTCAGGACCTAGACACTGGGCTACAGGTCATACTAACGTTTTAGTAGAACAGCTAGGATTCACAGTCACTTGGATGTTGTAAGGAGGAACATACAGAAGATTTATCTGAAGTCATAAATAGCACTGAAGTAGTGAGTACGAATTTGAATGTTTAAACTCAATTTTTTAATCCATGTCTCTAGTAAGAATTAGTGAGGCTTAATTTAAGTACTGTCTGGAAAAGAACACCTTTAAAAGCCTTTACTCAGTCTGGATCACAAGCAATTACGAGGAATCTCAAATATGACTTAGAATGCACTGTGATTTTTGGAAAGTATAACTGAAATCTTTTTTTTTTTTTATTGAGGTATTGATAGGTTACAAACTTGTGAAATTTCAATTGTACATTAATGTTTGTAACTGAAATCTTTAGATAGAGATTTTGACTTATTCTAATTTTTAAGCTAGAAATAGCTTGACACATGAATTTGAATGGGCATTTGAAATACATCTGTACAAACCACTAAAAGTTAGAAAGCTAAAATATGTTTTTCATTTGGCTGTTTCCTTATCAATTGTTCTAATTGTTCCGTGTCAAAAAACACCCTTGAATTCTCATCTATGTTGTGCTGCAATTAATCACATAACAAATTAGTTTAATACCATCTCTAGCGGGAAAAAAATAAACTTTTCCCATTACTAAAATTTATCTAACAGAAAATTCCCACAAATTTAGGTACTTGCTAACCTAACAAAGGATGTTCAGAAGTCAAATCTTCTCCTCTCCCCACAGTTATAGCAGCTGGAGACAATGTGGGTGGTGGGGGAGTTCTGTCCATCCGGACACATTCATCTGACTCTTCCGGCATTTCTTCCTCACACACATCTTCTACTTGATAAACCTGCAATGACAAACCACACTGCCTTAAAACGTTTCTGAAAATACATTTAACAAGGTGTTCCTAACTTAATTTAAAAAAAATAAATTCTAAGAGTTTTAAACTTAAAAACAGGGCAAAATGACTATACAAGTTGAAAGGAAAACTTTCAAATCACTCAAATGAAGTTTTTGATAATACGTGACGATATTTCACTAAAAGCAAGTTGTAGATTACTATCTAGGCTACAAATCACTAAAGTTTTCAAAAAGGTATCTGTCAAGTCAGAACATATTTTTAGTTTTGAGAACTAAAGAACGTGTTTTGATTTTATAAACCTGAATAACTATTTTGGGAATTTTCTATTGTTTCTGTTAACTTCTGTCAAAAATCAAAATAGATACTAATACTTTTCACAAGCACAACAAGTACATCTCCAAAATGACACATAACATATCAGGAAATGTACTGCCTAAAGGACTACATCCCAGGGTCTTCCTTATTATATTTATGTGAACTAAAGATTAAATTATGAAAAGTAATGCCCAAGTAACTACAAAAAACGTATGCAATTACATCTTTTAACTTCTGATCTGCTCAAGAATCTAATGCATTTTTATAAGCTAATATCAGGTAAACAGAAAATACCTGTCCTTGAAATAACTGATACATACACACACACACACACACACACCATCCTATGCCATCTGACACATTATTTTTAGTTGTTTAATACTGTTCCATACTTATAGAGGAAAGTTTTTAAGTCTTTGACTTAACTACCTTGGTATCCAAAGCAAAGACTAAAGAAGAAAACATGGACTCAAAAGCACTCTGACAAGGAACTATATAACTAAAAATAACTAACATTATTAATTTTTTATTAAACTTCAAGCTGAATTTTCAAAGTCCACTTCTAAAGATTGACACAGGTATTTTAATTTGTCATCACTATTTATTTAACCACTATTGTTGGAAGATGATAGATTACTAAAAACAAAGCCACAAAGCAGTTCACCTCCCTTCTTTTATGTACAAAGCTTGCTACTTAAATTTATAAAGGTTGTGAGTTTTTAAGATTACTTACCCAAATTGATTAATATTTCTAATAAATGTTAAAACAAAAAACTTTTCAGCAACGTTAACAAAAAATTTTAAGTGATATCTAATACTGTATACATTTTTAATCAAACTATTGAAAAAGTTTGATGATTTGAAGTATGTGAAAGTAAATATAAAAATGATCAAGAACTCTGAACCCAGCAAAACCAGGTATTATATAAAGGACTATGAAGTTTCATCTACAAAGATATCTCTAACAACCCCAACAGTGTGGGAAAAAAACCCACTAACTTTCTAAAAGCCTCTACTAAGAATAAAATATCTTTTCTTTTGCCTGTTTAAAACTTTAAAAATCTTAACGGTACAGATAATTTTGTATCAAATATAATATCCAGAATTGTGATCTGAATCAGCTACTAAGTAGGCAACATTTTTAAAAGTTATTTGCTCACAGCCCTGCATCTGGAAGCCTGTTTCACCAGCAGAGATTCCTTGCCTCGTGTCTGGATCCTCAGAAGTGGAGGCAGTCGTTCCTTACTGTACAGTGCAACAATGATAGCTGCTAGTATCTGTTCATGATAATTTTTTTTTAAATGATGATAATGTCCAATACAGGGAAAGTCATCCAAAAAAATGTCCTGAGGGTTAAAGGAAAAAAAAAAAAAACCTTCTAGTGAGGGGCATCTGCTGTCGTAGTGATTACCTTAACTTGGCAGAGTGGTGGGGATACTGATTCAGAGGTAATTAGACAAGTAGAGTTTCAGCAACCAGTTCAATTGTATCTATGTAGCATTCCTTTGTTAGGTATTACTTTTCTCCCAAAGATCATTATCTTTTATTAAAATGCTGAACTCTCTTTTTAATATTAATGCTGTTACAAGTTTTTCAAATACCTACGACAGTAGCTTTTAAGGAATCAAAGTTAGTTCATGCACATAATTCTGATTTTTAAAAAATAATGAAACAGTTTTAAAGGATAAAAAGAGGCACAACACAAATAGCATATTCTGAAATAATCCATCAAAGAATACCGTAAAATACTTTTCATTATTTATAGTCAAACCTAACTACATACTTTCTTCCAGATCTCCCATGTAAAGGCAAAATAAGTTAATGAGTAAAAGAAGGAGGCAAAAACATCTGTCACAGACATCTGGCACCATCAGCATAAAAAAATCTAAGTGCAACAACTAAAACATTGAATAAAGCAAAGAAGTGGAGGTTTTGCTCACAAGATCAGGGAACGGCACATCACAATTCTGTTTAGTTCATAACTACAACTATTCTAAAACAGGCAATGACTGCCAAACTTACCTCAAAAATACATCAGTCACATCCGTCTCCCTTTCCTAAATAAACTGTGGAACATTTATTAGTTCTAAATTATCTACCCTCACATCTTACTTAGCATAACCAAACAGCAATGAAAAATCTTAGTTTTAGAAATATATCTTTTTTAAGTGTATCTTTTAAAAAGCATGATTTTATAATATATTTTAAAAATATATCTTTTAAAAAAATACCGATTTTACTTTGATAATTTATACTAATCTTTCAAAATTTCACATCCCTTAAGAAGTAATCTCTCTACCTTTAAATATTTGAGGTAAGGAGGAATATGTAAAGAAATGTGTAATTCATGAGGAAACGATTAAAAAAACAGATTTGATCATAGGTAATAAAAGAAGAGTATAGCAATTTAGTAAATAGGCTATGGTACTCAAAGGTAAAAGAAAAATAACATAGAAACATCTACAGCAAGCATGACCATATGAGTGATAGAAATGAAAGTTATCACTTTCATAGAAAAAAATCCAAAAATGAGATGACACGAATTTTTTTTAAAAATTTTTTTAAGAGAAGTCAGGAACTAACAAAATAAAATCTTAAATATTTTTAGCTTTAATTTAATGAAAGTGTCACTATGCTTTTGATATTTCTATCCCAAATATGTCCCTCCAAGATTTCCCCTAACAAAGACAATTAGAAAAATATACGGCATAGAGAGAAATTTTATTTTTTACTTGTTAAAAACCAAGTCTACTGAACTAAAAAGTGAGAATATTAAATTTAAATTAAATTTGATCTCTTTGAAGGTACTGAACACTCTGAAGCCTGTGTTTTTATGCTACGATATCCACTGCAAACTCTTCCAGAAATCCTTTAAAAGAAAATGGAAAGACATGATAATTGAATGAAAAACTTATTTCTAACGCCCATTGTTGTTTCTGTCAAGTTGTTTTTAATAAAAGTGAATAGGAAACGAAATTCAATCTCTTTGTGCCTATTAAGATCAGTCAAAATGACAAGAATAAAAGAATCTATAGATTTGCACACTGAGAACCAAAATGTTTCCTATTATGGAAAGACTCTGAAACTCCTTTCCTTTCTGAACTCATGGTTGTTAGCCTTTAAATGATAAAATCTCTTCAGTGAGGTTTGATCTTTGAGAAGATTGTTTTCCTCAGTTAAAAACTGAATTTGATCATTCTGCCTAAACATTTAGAGACTTTATTTCCATTTTTATTGTAAATTATTTTATAAATTTAAAAAGTCCTTTAAAGAATGTTTAAAGAAAAACATTTTTCAAGGTAATTTTCCTTTGTAGGCAACATGCACCATTTTTAGAGGTTTATTCTGATAAATTTCACCACCAATCTCAATTACTCAAAATTTTTACTCCTCCCAATGAATTTTTTTATCCTCAGTACTCAATTCATCCACTGAGATTTTTCAAGCTTTTTAATGAGAAATATGCTAAGGATATATTTCCCCTTAGTAGAAATCTAAAACTCAGAAGTTTAATAATTCTAAAAGATGGTCTACAGTTAACTTTTTTTGCTAAGTTGGATTCTTTCCTAGAATAAATGTTTTTTAAGAAAATTTTAATTACAAAATATATTACCAAAAAACTACATCATACAAGCATACTTCCACCTTGAAACAAAAGCCCCTAAAGGCCCAGGACTTCAGAATGCATACAACCAAAAAGGTTAGCTAGATAAATCATACGTTTAAGAACATACAAGCCAACAGAAGGGATCTATGAAGGATAATCACCTTAAGAGAAAAAACTTTGTGCAGATGACACTGGTTCAAATGCATTCCCTTGGGGAAAAAAAATCAACTCTGTAAAGATAGCAGATGGATTTGTTTAAATAGTAATAAAATTAACGAGGGACTTTAATAACCATCACAAATTATCAAGCATGCAACCATACTACAACAAACGGCATTTTTTTTTTTTGCCCATACAGCAAGTTTCTCAGACACTGACAGATGGAAATTTCAAGCTTTTTAAATTCACAGGCATTTAGATCTAACGATATAACATAATGTGGGAGAAAATAGTTTTTACTTTCAGTTCAGCAAGAAAGTCAAAGAGCTTCCAAGGGCTTACCACTGGTGGATCAACAGGTGCTGGTGGTTGCACTTGTAGGTTTACCGCAACAGTCTGTGGAGGAGGAAGAGTCTGAAATGGCAACTGGACCAAAGCTTCTGCAGCTGGAAGCTCCTCTTCTGACACCAAAGCATTCTGCACCAAAACCTGGCCCTGGGATAGAATTTCAGGCTGCACTTGTAAAGACTGCATAGACTGCAAGGGCAGTGGTGGAATCTGAGCTGGAGGAGATGTCGACATCTGCGGAGGGGTTGCAATTGGGATTGGAGAGGACTGCAGGGTTGAATATTGCTGGTGTGATGCTGGAGACACAATCTGCTGGCCTGGGGACACCAAAGTGGACTGCTGAACTGGGCCAATGTGTACAACAGGGGAAGCTGGAAGCGGAAGATGGGACGGAAGATTCAGCTGTGCTGTAGGTTGCACCTGATTAGCAGTGGACTGCTGCAAGTTTGGCCCTGACTGGAGAGCTGATGACACAAGAGGGTGTGGCTGAATAAGTGCTTGTGGATGAATAATTATAGTAGGAGACTGACTTGGTGAATGAGGCGGTGGAGGAGACACCACTACAGACTGCTGTGCTGACTGTGACTGGTTGGGAGACATTGTTAAAGGAGGGGGATGACTCTGAATCGGTGAGCAATGCTGTGACTGGGCATTAGTGGGAGCTGGAGGAAGGCCATGGTTTTGGAGTGGTATACAGTGCTGGGACGGGGGTGGGTCTTGAGTTGGATTTTGAAGTGTGATTGGCTGAATTTGCTGTTGCTGCTGTTGCAATATCAGCTGATGATGGGAAACCTTGGGAGGTGGTGAATGAAGAGGAATCTGCTGATGTTTTATTAGAGGATGAGGCTGAATTGGAGGATATGAAGCTGTGAGAGAAAAAAATGACAATTAGTATTTATTTCAAAAATAGCATAGAAATTTTTAAATCTAGCGGAGGAAAGTTTTCATATCAGAAGGTCATAATCATTAGAAATCTACTACCAGTCTTCCAGACAAGAGTGCCTTGAAAATGTAATGACAAACCTTTTCCTTAGAAAACTATGAAGATTTCATAAAATAGGCTGTACTAAGTTCCAAAAGAAAAGTGCCTAAAACAACTGATTCATCAATCTGAATCTACACCTTTCTTGTTAAACTTTATAGGTCACCAAAATATCTGCATTAACTTTTAACAAAGCTTATCCACTTGAATTCCTTCTTTGGGGAGAAGAGGGGAAGTATCATTGAACAACTATAATATATATAAAGATAACTTCAAAATAATAAAAATACAGTATTAAAACTCATAAAATAAAGGTCTCATCCTTTCTAATCTATGTCTAAACATTCTTCCAACTAACAGTCAATGTAATTACTTATAAAGCTTCCCAAATAAACTTCCAAATTTGAGCCGAGATGAAGAGTTGGTATTATTTGACTCAGGAAGAGAAAATGTTTGCATAAAAAGTTAATTCACTTAAGCAAAACACATGTGTGAATTCTATAGCTTGGTTAAATAATCACCGTAACTGAGAAATGAAATTTCAGGGTCCATTCCAAATCGTGGAGAGCACTAGTGTTACTTGCAATCAGAAGTCCATGGTGTCTAAACAAAGGACCTTGTTTTCTTTCTTTCCTCTCCACAAAAAAAAACCCCTACAGTAATCTATAATTGATAGGATTCAGTTTTCTCCACAGAGAAGCCACTCATGACAGGGATAATAAATATAAGAATTAGCAAAATCAAGTAGTAAGGAGTTTCCCATTCACGATGCCTCTTGTGTACATTGGTGCACAGGTTTGCAGAGGGAGATGCTGGTGAAATCCCCTCTATCTAAATGAGTATGGAAACTGGGCTCACAAGAAGATAAACTGAAAAGACTGCTTAATATTAATACCATGAAAAAATTATACACATTTAAAATAGATTTAAAGATAGGGCAAAGTTTTTCTTAATCTCATGTTATGATAAAAGATTGTAACACCTTGCATCTATTTTTATATTCAACCACACTTGTGACAAAAGCCTTATAAAAACTTCTAACAACTTTTTAAAAACATTTTTGCATTTGGTTGCTTATTATTTAAAATTTTGGAGAGCCTTTAAGGAAATTAACATCTGATTAACATCTCAAGAAAGAGGCATTTAGAAGATTCAACAAATATCCACTAACTGTTTTAAAAAAAGGAGGAGGAAATTAGGTCTAAAATTTCATCTAACAAAATAATTTTCATATAACTAGAACAGCACTTTAAACTAAGACTGAAAATTTTATGCCAGCACTTTATAAATGTGTTGATAAAGACTTTATATTAGAGAGTACTCAATAAAATCTTGGATTTCTGTAGAGTGCCTTTCAAAGAGCTCAAGGTGTTTTCACATCTCTCTCATTTGTACTCACAAAATGCCTGTGGAGTAGATAGGTATTATTCTTCCCTTTTTTACCGATAAAGAAAAAGAGTTTTCGCAGGCATAATAGCAAAGGCCCACTTTAATTCAGTTTTTTAAGTTATAATTAAAATTTACCATATTCTTGAAGTACAATGGATATTATATTCACAAGAATAAAAATTCTTTCTGTGCTCTAGCAAGTAAGCAGTCACTTTTTATATTCTAGAGCCAATAATTCAATAGATTAATAGTCCACCCTGTCACCTAGATTAAATTTTTCTTTGATCAGAAATCAAAGTAAGTCTATGTATTTTATATTAGTCCAAAAGTCCAACTGATAAGCACATATATTACAGAAATACTGTGAGGGTATCTGAATCAATACTTCTGTACAAGAAAAGTACTAGTGCCCTGGAGAATAATATCACATATATTTGTTTCTCTGATTTTAATAAACACTTTATTATTGTGAAGGTGGCCTTATATTTGGAGAATTAATGATCGGCATCCTCTCTCACATATGTAGTAGAATTCTTTAATTATTGTAAATAATTAAATATATTCTTGTAAATTATTAATTATTTCATTCAATAGTTACAATAACCCCACCAGGTAGACAGGGTACTACACCAATACAATATATCACAAGTGAAGAAACTCTGAGTAGTTAAGTGACTTGTCTGAAATCACCCAGCTATTAAGCAGCAGTGCTGGATCTAAAAGAACCCATAATCCCAGCTGAGTCTGGGTTCCTATTATGGACTGAATGTTTGTGTCCCCCAAAATTTATATGTTGAAGCCCCACCCCTAATGTGACTGTATTTGGTAATGGGGCCTCGAAGGAAGTAATTAAAGTTAAATGAGGTCAGAGGGGTGGGGCCCTGACCCAAAAGGAGTAGTACCCTTATAAAAAGACACACCAGAGAGCTCACTATCCTCTCTGTCTCTCTGTCTCTCTCTGTCTCTGTGTCTCTCTCTGTCTCTCTCTCTGTCTCTGTCTCTGTCTCTCTCTCTCTGTCTCTCTCTCTCTGTCTCTCTCTCTCTCTCTCTCTCTCTCGGCACTCAGATGAAAGCCAGGAAGAGAGCCCTCACCAAAAACCAAACACTGCCAGACCTAATCTCGGGCTTTCTAGACTGAGGAACTGTGAGAAAGTAAACTTCTGTTGTTTAAGCCACCCAGTCTATGGTACTTTTTTATGGGAGCCTGAATGGACTGACACAGGCTTTTCACTACACATTGAATTAATGTTTGCAAAAAATGGTACATATTTTTTCCAACTCGACTAATTTCATAAAAGCTCTAAAAACCGCCATAAAAAAACCTGAGCTGTAATATAGTTCATGATAATTTCCAGACATTTGGTTAAAGTTTGCCTTTATTTCATATATTAAAAATAGAATTATTAACTGTCAAGTGGAAACTCTACCTTCAAGAAATGATGAAGAAAACCAAATGATTTAAGCCCCCTAGAAATATATATAAGGACATAATAATTATTAGATTATTAAAATAATTAACTATATAATTAATATTTTGCTAAATATTTTATTTGATAATTTATTTAAATTTTATTGTTTTATATTTAATATTTATTATTAAATATATTAATGATATAATTAATGTTATTAAAATATATTGTTAAAATAATAATTATTAGATTATACTACATTAGAACATAAGTAGATTTTTTTATATTTGAAAGTGACCTGTAGGAACAAGCATTTTTCTAATTGAGGAAAAGGACAAATTACCAATTCAAGAATCTACAAAAAACATCTTAGCTTCAAACTAACTGCCCACCAAGAAGAGCAGAAAAACTAAAAGGGGGGAAAAATATAGCTGCTGCCTTGTCAGAAGATACAAATTGCTTTGAATAACTGCAGTGTAAGGCTTGAATGAATTTATAAGTTTGGCAGCTGCAAGGGTTTACACAGCTTAGCGTGTTCCATTTGGTTTTGTTTCTAATCAGTAACCGTGGAAAACTGGACTTCGGTTAATACACATAAGAATTGCAAGTGTCCTGCGGCTCTTCAATGGTTCTGGCTTACTGGTCTCCTCTATACCTACATAAAATACTGGCCATCAGAGGATGGCAACTATAAGGCTATTACAACACTATCAATGAAAGGGGGAAGAGTAAGTGTCAACCAGAACTAGGTACTGGGAGTCCAGGGTGACTGAAAATCTGAAAGTAGATCTTGCTTGAACTAACACTGAAAGAGTTCCTAGCTTTCTCTGAAGGTAGCATTCTCTTTCGAAGGACATTAACCTACCCTCCAGTATAATCTATCAAAACTACAGAAATCACTAGAAATTGTCCCCTGAGCAGTCATTCCATGCACAGTGGGTCACTGCTGCTCCATACTCACTCCTATCTACTCTGGCCAGAAGCTGGTTTGAGGCTGAGAATACTCTAGACAATACAGTACAAAAATCCTGTCATCAAGCCATACAGACAGTGGGACCTGGCAGATAGATGTTTATGAAAAAGAGTTTATAGACGTTTATAAAAGAATTTACAGATGTTTATAAAAAAGAATTCACATCTAACTATACTATGAATGGATTTATTAAACATTATAACAAAGCCCACACTTATCTAAGATTCAGATTTAAGAATTCTAAGCAGTAATACCTAATACAAATGGAAAAAATTGCGCTATAACTTCCAAAATTCAAATGGAAAAAAACCCAACTATTAATCCAACAAATATTTACTGTCCACCTATTACAGATAAGTACAAAGAAAGCACAACTTTGTGCTGTCAAGATAAAAGGATGAAAGGGTGAACCAGAAAAAGGATAAAAGGAGTTAATAAATGTAAAGTACTTGACACCTAAGTGCTCAATATTACTATCCTTGCCTCAAAGCTTACTGTCTAGTACAAAAGCCAAGATCAGTAAGTATACATATAACTATAAAAGAAAAAGTACCATAAAGGAGCATAAAAATGCTACATAAGTTCAGAGTGATAAGAGATATCTAACTAGGAGAATCAAATAATTCCGAGATTTAGAGATTGGGAGACAGAGAGAATGTTGGCAATATTAGCAGAGGGGAAACATGAAAAGAGAAACAGATTAGGGTAGAGAAAAAGCAAACTTCAGTAGTGTAAAATGAATCTTTAAAAAGTAATGCAGTTACAAAAGGACAGAAAGAATATGATTCCCTGATGAGGGTGAACTAAAGGAGAATTTTTTTTAATGAAACATGTGAGATGTGTAGCCTAGTGCATGACACACACACACATACTTTCAATAAACAATAGGTATATTGGTAAAAAAACATATGCAGACACATTAGGAGTAAGGGAGACCTAAGTATTCTTAAGAAGCAAAGGGAAGGATCCAGCATGAGAGACAAAAGATGCTGCAACAACTACAAGAGAAGGTCAGGAGCCGGTAAAAAAGACGCAATCAAAAAAGATGCAATCAATGACAAGCTAACAGTGCTAACTTTAAAGAAGAAAGCAGATACTTCCTTTTCTCAGTAGTAGTGAAGAAAGCTCAACACTGAGAAATTCTGAGATGAACAGAAGAGATAGTAAGGAAACTCACTCTGGCTCCAATATTTTCAGCATGAGAACCCTGAAGCAAGGTTATCTGTAGATAGCAGGGAGCACTCATGGATTCAAGGGTTGATGAGAATGAAAACCACTTAGTTGATTCCCTGACACCCTTCCTCTCAGAGATGGAAAAAAAGCAACATGGTAAGGAAAATAACTATGCATAATCCTTATTTTGGGAAAGTGATAAATTCTTGACACTAATGACAACTTTAAACAAAAAATATATTTGATTTTTTAAACGCTTTTAATTTTGTTCCACTAAAGCATATTAAAGAAACTACAGGCAAATACATGTTTTAAAACTAAAAGGTTTTATCTATATAATGGGAGATCAGCACACAATGAAGATGTTAATCAAATGTCAATTGACCAAAAAAATCTATTTTATTATTATAATTTGTTTTTAACTGTTGGGCTTTTTTTCCAAGCTACAATATTAAGATGTTCTTTTTTAACTTATGAAATTCACATTTAAAAACGTTTTTAAAGTACCATTCTTGTTCAAGCAATGGACATCTTTTATTTTACTCTGCCTGCCAAGAAAATGAATAATGCAACTATTTGCAACAAAAGTTTTATCCCACCTGGTGCTATTAACTGGTGAATACTTGATGTCCGGGTGACAGCTGTGCTTCGTGATTCCAGACCTGGACTTTCTCCTTTCTTATTACTTTCTGGAGAAGGATCTCGTTGGCTGATTTTAGAACTGGTCACTGTTGTTTTGTTATGACAAATTGTCAACGATTGAGTTTGACTAGTGCTTTTTGGCGGACCATTCTGTGAGCTAGATAATACACCCAACTTCTGGCTGCGTAATGTTAAATTCTGAACCTAAGAACCACATAACAAAAAATAAGGATGAAACAGATGGTATTAATTGATGTGTTAATCATTACCATTATAACAATGACAACATGTATATATTATGCTTTTCATACATAAAGTTCCAAGCACTTGAAACAACTGATTAATTCTGAAGGGGAGTTGTTATTCTAAGTAATGATATCTTAAAAATTAAGTTGCAATTTTTAAAAAAGACATTGAGAAAGAATCAGTAGAACCATATACATTGCAAATGAACTATGAATATGAGGAAATCATTCTGCAACATACTGCATTTTGAAGTTACCAGCTTGGAGACAGCCAGAGGGAAGGAGAAAGAGGAAGGGCATTCCAGGCAAAGAGGAAAACTTCAGCAAAGCTACAGAGGTGAGAGAGCCAAGGGTGTGTAGGGGAGAATGAGTAATTCCTTCAACTTCACTCCGACTTCCCCATGTCAGGAGATAGTGAAACATTTTAAGGTTACAACTATCTCATAAACTTGTGAGAAGTTACTACGTACAATTGTACAATTCGGAGAGCATGGATACAATTTTGCTGTCTTAATAAAGATCAGAAAGAGAGAACAACAACAACAACAAAAAGCTACCAGCTCTACAGCGATTATAAGGGAACACTAATCTTCTAAGCAAGCAAATTAATTCACCAAATCACCTACCCTATTGAGGGAATTATGAAAAGCATTTCCCATTTCCTCTTTTTAACTAGCTGGATCTTGTCGTGTTATTGTTATGAACACTAACCTGCCTTTGAGAACTAGATCTCATGAACTGAAAAGATTGTGCATGGCCTTGAAATGGGTTATGTGATGGCTCCTGTCTACACCTGGAGCTATTCTAAACATACTGCCAGTCTGAATGGTGGCAGCGAGCATCCAAATTACTCTCACCTTAGGTTTATAATGTCTCCAAACAGCAAGAAAACAGCTCTCCAACAGCTAACTCTTTGGCTATGTGGAATGAATGCACCAAATACATTTATGCTAGCACTGGCCCTGGGAGGGAAACTGAAGTAAAAAAGATTCCAAAGTGACAAAGCAAATGATATATTGCTGCTTTATGAATGTTCTCCAGCTTCACGAGGGCTCTCTCTCTCTACAACTCTATCAACTCATGTTCAAAGGCTATACCTTCTCCTTCCAAGTGCCAAATGCAGTGTTCAGCCAATAGCAAGTGCTAAGTAAATGTTTGCCTCAGAGCAGCGGAGGTTTCAATCAGTTCTATTCTAAGTTACTGAAAGAATTTTCTAAGTAAGACCATATGGAGTGTCTTCTCTGATTTTTGTCAAATATTTCATAGCAATATAAGCAGATTAACAATTGCTGTATTATTGAAATGTAATACAAAAATAAAATATGCTAAAATCCAGATTTCTCGGCTTGCCACTCGGCCCTCCACAGTCTAGGCCCAAACCACTTCGAGCCCCATTTTCCACTCCTCCAGTCCCAATGCTCATATTCTAGCCAATTGTTCTGCTTACCCTTCTCCAAACATACCTTCCTTCATTTAGAGCCCTTGCTCGAGTTCCTCTTGCCTAAAACGCCCTTCTGCTTCAGCAGTGACTCCTGAAGCCCAACCCACTCTTCACAGCCCAGTAAAAATCCCCTCTCTCTCCCCAAGAAACCGCCCCAAAGTCCCCGGTTAGAAACAATTTCTCCTCCCCTCTATAATGGTTTTCCCATACAATTTGGATCATATTGCCTATAGCACTAACAAATGTCTAGCTTATTTTAGAATTACTAATGTCTGTGTCTGTGAAATACTAAGACTCTGGCTGGCAAGCTCTCATCTGACATTCATTTTTGTACTCCCTGCAGTTCAGTGCCGCAGACATAACAGAAACTTCAGAAGTCTGACATATTGTCCTACATCTGATTCAGAAATATATATTACGCGGCTTTTGTTGTTGTTGTTAAGTATTTAGTTCTATTTACAGTTTTCTTAGGCTAGCATTAAAACTTGTTCATATTTAACCAAAAGATCTCAACAAATATCTAGTGGAGGCACATTAAAATCTCTCAGGAAGCAAGGGAAAATAGCATTAAAATTTAACCTCTGCCATAAATGATAACGTAGACCACATAATAACCAAAAGCTGAATTATAGTCTGAGAAACTTGAAAACTTTCCTTCAAATGAAAAGCATATTCATAATAAATGAAGATTTGACACAATAAACCCTAAAACCTGCAGCAGTGCATTTCTATAAAATGTTGTATTTTCTTCTTCTAATTTTCCTTTTGTTTTCTGGAATTCAGAAAGAAAATGCATGTGTGTGCATATAATATATACTATATAATATTTCTATGAATAAAGTTTAGAATATGGCTATAATATCTATGGTCATCTTGGCTTAAACATTTACAATAAGTTTCAAACGTAAACTATACTCCTAAAGTATATTATAAAGCTAATTTAGCTGTTAACAGAAAGATCACATATTTAGATTTCTTTGACAGAGCTTCACTTCTGAGCAGAACTCACCCTTTCTAATACAAACAATACTAGGGCACTCTAATGTCCAACTTTCATTTCACTGGACTTTTCCTATGATCAAATTATGGAAACTTTTTGACTTTTGAAAAAGTCTAAGTTTCATGTGAAGTATTTTTGCTAATTTCACATCTTACATTTTTATAGTGGATTACCCAAATACTCTCACATCAATTTTTCAGTTTGGATCTAACAAATACTGTGTGAATTATCACAGCATCTCTTCTTTGCAGACGAGGAAACCAAGAGTTAATGAGACACTGCTGGCAGGAGAACTGAGTTTCTAGCTCTTAAACCCAAAGCACTGTTTTCACCTCAATTCCAACAGCATTCTCCAGATACCCTTGATAAGTAAGATTTCTTGCTTTTCTATAAACATACTTCTAGTCCTATGATATCTTTTCTGAAAGTCAGATTTTTTTTCTTTTTTTTTGCATGGTGGGGACAAGAATACAGCATTTAAAATACTAAATAAGGGTGGGCTATTACAAATATCTCAACTTTTGACAGTATGCTATAAATAAATTTTAATACTGAGGAAAAATTAACTGTTATACTGACTTCTGTCACTGAAGGAGTATTAAAATAAAATTTCAAATTTGGTATTTCTGAATTACAAGAAAAATAATTGTTTTTAAAACTGCAAATACAAGTTTAAAAATTAAAAATGTGGAGCACAGATTTTTTAAAACTAAGAGCCCTGAACTCAAGGACAGGTATCACTGGAATATCCAAAGTATTAGCATCACCTACCACTGCCAACCTCATTCACTGCCATTTCAAAAGAACAGCAAAGAAAAACATTTGTAGAGAAATTCCTAAAGGTCAATCCACCCGTCTAATTCCTCACAGCCTATCTTTGAATGAAGTCAGATTATCACAGAGCCACATATCCATATCAGTAAAAGTGGACCTCAAAGACCCACTTTGGGTTTTTTTGAAGGAAGATTAGCCCTGAGCTAACATCTGCCACCAATCCTCCTCTTTTTTCTGAGGAGGACTGGCCCTGAGCTAACATCCGTGCCCATCTTCCTCTACTTTATATGTGGGATGCCTGCCACAGCATGCATGGCTTAAGAAGCAGTGTGTAGGTCCGCAACTGGGATCCGAACCGACAAAACCCAGGCCACTGAAGTGAAACGTGAGAACTTAACTACTGCGCCACCGGGCTGGCCCCAAGAGCCACTGTTATAAATTACTTTGACTATGCTCACATTGAAGATGTCATCAGAGACACTGTAAGATATTTTCTCCATGAGAATCCACAAAACTAACTGTGCTCTAGAGAGCATGTTAGTTGTATTTTCCTAACAAGTGGCTTATTTTACCTTAAAAACTGCAAATGTTTTCTTTAAATGGTGTGTTTCTCTCTTCACCATTTGCTACTTGAAAGCTAAAAACCAAATTCAAGATGCATCCTTAGACAATGTATAACAAAAACAGTAATCAGTGGCATGTGATATCTTATGTGCCAGACACTATGCTAAGTACTTTACGAATATTGTCTCATTTATTCCTTATAACGACTCTGAACTATTACTTTCAGTTTATAGCGAAGAAATTGAGACTTAGCATAGGTAATAACAATAACAGCTAACATTAGGGAGTGCTGTTTCAGACACCGTTGTGTTTTTCATTTATACATATTTAATCCTCACTACAACCCTATGAAGTAAGCATTATAATTACTTTATAAATATTGATTTTATTTTATATTGTGGAAACTAAGGTGAGAGTTTTTTGGGTTTTTTTTAAGATTTTATTTTTTTCCTTTTTCTCTCCAAAGGCCCCCCGCCCCCCGGTACATGGTTGTATATTCTTCATTGTGGGTCCTTTTAGTTGTGGCATGTGGGACGCTGTCTCAGCGTGGTTTGATGAGCAGTGCCATGTCCGCGCCCAGGATTCGAACCGACGAAACACTGGGCTGCCTGCAGCGGAGCGTGCGAACTTAACCATTAGGCCACGGGGCCAGCCCCGAGGTGAGAGATTAAAGATACACAATGAGAAAGAGGCAGAGCAAGTATTTGAACCCAGAGAGTCTGGCTCCAGAGTCCAAACTTATGAACACTATGATATACTATGATCTTGTCCCAAATCAATCAACTGGCAAGTGATAAAGCTGGCAATTGTTGCTGCTCAAGTCAGAATTTGAACCCAGGTCTTCCTATTTCCTTATTTGCGAAAAAAAGTACTGATGAGTGCCTATGACATTCTAGATACTACACATACATATTACTCATTCTTCAAGTTACCCTACAAGTATGTGTGACTATTAGAGATGTTTGGTAACTTGTCTAAAGTCATACAACTAAGAAAATCCATGAATTACTTCATGCATGTAATTTGAATAGCAACCTCACTCCTAGCTCCATGCCACTTTCCTACTCTTAGTTGGGCTTTTTTCTTGTACGCATTCAATTTATTTCATCTTGTTTTATTATACGCAGCTTGTAAATCAATTAAAATCTTAGAACAAAGTTAGGTATATATAAAAATAAAATTTAAAATATTCATCAAGTTGATAATGTTCTAGCTCTACTGGGTTTAATAAAACCAAAACAAAACAGAAAGATCATTAATTCAACAAACTCATCCCACAAAGAGACACTACAAAAGTTTAGAGCTGAAAGAACCTAAAAGTTAACAAAGACAAAAGTCTCATTTTGTAAATACAGAAACTAAAGTCTAACAAACTTCAGGAACTGTGGAGGGTCACAAAGCACATTAAGGAGAAACCTCAGTTTAATTGATCACCATCTTTATGTGCTGATTTTGAAAACTGGCCTTTATTATTAAATAAAATAATACATTAAGAGGTTCTATGAAAAGTACCAAAGAATACTGCTATCTCATTTTTCACTTTTTACCAGAAGATTGAGATTATTAAAACAAGAAGCCAAGGACAACCCTAAGACATACCAATTTCTGCCATACATTGTATAAAACACTATATTCTACTCAGTTATTTTAATTTAAAATTTATTCATTTTTATCAACTTTACTGAGATGTCATCAGATAAAGATGACATACAATAAAATGAATGAACCAGTTCAATAAGCTTTGACATACGCATATACCATGTTACCACCACCCCAAACAAGATATAGAACATTTCCACCACCCTAAAAGTTCACTCATGTCTCTTCCCAGTCAATCTCATCCGCCTTCTGACCCAGGTACCACCAATCTGAATTTTTTCACTATAGATTAGTTCTGCCTGTTCTGAAATTTTATACAAGCAGGAATCAAAGAGTATGTACTCTCTGGTGTCTAGCTTCTTTTGCTAATTGTGTTTCTGAGATCCATCAGTAGTTTGCTCTTTTTTATTTATGAATAACATTCCACAATTTGTTTATCCATTCACCAGTTAAGGACACTGGTCACTTCCAGTTTTGGGCTATTCTAAATAGAGCTGCTATGAACATTCATTTGCACATCTTTATGTTGGGTATATGTTCTCAGATCTCTCATGGGAAACATCTATAAGTAGAATTGCTGGGGTCACATGTTAAGCATAAGTTTAACTTTACAAGGAACTGACAAATTGTTTCCCAAAGCAGGTGTACCATTTTACACTCTCACCAGCAATGTACAAAAATATGGTTGCTCCACTTTCTCGCTAACCTGTGGTATTATCAGTCTCTTCATTTCAGCCATTCTAGTGAGGGTGTGGTGATATTCATTGTGGTTTTCATGTACATTTCTAGAGTGATTAATGATGTTCAGCATTTTTTCATGTGCTTACTGGACTTTCATACAGCTTCTCTTGTGAAGAGTTCAAATCTTTTGCCCATTTTGAGTTGAATTGCTAATGATCTTATTGAGTTGTAAGCATACCTTGTATATTCTGGATACAAGTCCTTTGTCAGATATATGTACTATGCACATCTTCCCTCAGTCTGTGGCTTACTTCTTCATTTTTACAACAATGTCTTTTGAAGAACAGTTTTTAATTTTGATAAAGTCCAATGTGTCATTATTTTCTTTTATGGTTAGTGCTTTTTGCATCCTAAGAAAGCTTTGCCTACCCTAGAGTTATAAAGATATTCCCTATGTTTTCTTCTAGAGGTTTTAATAGTTTTGGCTTTTACCTTTAGGTCTACATTCTACTTAAAGTTTATTTTTGTGAATGATGGGAGGAGAAAGTTAAGGTTCATTTTTTTCCACAGTACCAAAGTAATATTCTATTCAATTTTTTAAATTTAAAATTTACCCAATTTAATTCATTTTTAAGCTTAAAATCAATCTTGACTTAACTACATAACTGCTTACAAAGGAATCTACACAAAAGAATACATCTCAGATAACAAAATAAATGTGCTTTACAATAAAACTAAACATACAACATCAAAGCAAAAACTTACTAACTTTCACTAATGTCAGATAACCTAAATAACTATGTTTAATGGTATTATAATTTCTATAGAACAAAAAAACTTTCTTGAAGCTCTCATTGTATTTTTATTCAATTTCAATCTGAAACGTATGACAAAGAGCGCTGAAACCATCAGTAACTTAAACACAAATATATGTTTATCTGTAACCTGAAGATCCAGACCTCAAGAACCACATTATGAAGCTAGACAAGCTCACCTGAGTAGCTGCAGACTGACAGGAAGATGACGATGACGACGAGACAACAGGAATGTCAGACTGTACAGCAGCCACAGTGGTAGCGGGTGTGAAAATCAGCTGTACAGACAGAAAAACCAAAAAAATACCCTAAGACAAAAGAACGTGTCCCACACACAATGTATAGCAGCAAGAAAGACTGAAATTTGTGACAGAAAGACAATGCAGTTTAGGACTGCCTCCTAAGCAAAAGGTTTTACATGACAAAGAGAAGTTTCTGATAATAGAGAACTCAAAAAAATCATAAACATTTTTGAAACAGCTCATGATTCTGATGAGTAGAAAAATAAATCAGGGCTCAAAAGAGAAAATGTATTTTGGTAATACGAAATCCTCACACCAAATTTTGCCCCAAATAAGCTATTATACTTAAACTTTTCCCAGCTCAAAACTATTGTGGCAGGATTCCTAAAATGGAACTTATAATAGACAATCATAGTCACTGCTCTTGAATACAAATTAAATTTCAGTGAGAAACATGAAAAGAAACACCGAAAAGTCTTTTCAGTCCTCTTTACCACAAAGGATAACTATACCACATACTACACTATAATATTGCACTCAGCCACATAGAATCCAGAGTAAAAAGCTAGGTTGCTCTTGATTTTAAAAAACTACTTGTAAAGAAATATTCATTCTAAATGTGAATGCCACAACATGTCAAAATTCAACAACGAAATAGGTTGCAAAAAAGCTTCAAATCAAAAAAAAGTAAAAGAAGTAAAGACATATTCAATTCATTTACTAATCATCGCATCTCTTTTCAAATGTTTTTTCAATATTGAAACAGAATGCCATTAATTCAAAAAGGCAGTACAATCCCCTCAGAAATTATCCAATCCAACTGAGTAAATTATGACAGTTGTTTTCAAAGAATGTATAAATACTCTATTTCAAAATTGCATCAAGAGTTATTCAATTCCTCAAAAACTGTTCCTGTTTAAATTAAAATTATCAATTAAGGGATCTTTAAACTTCAGTTCTTTATATACTAAATTCAAGTGAATTAAACAACAAAGTATCACTTTCACAAGAAAGTAATTTCCAGTACAAACAGCTGAAAGTACTAAACCTAAAGGAGATGATGTTCTATTTAGCTGGAACCGTATAAAACTGCCAGTTTTTGAAGTCAAAAATGATTAAATAGCAATCATTTCAAATAGTTCAGCCTAATTTTGAAGCACTTTATTAATTAAATAAGATCTCATGGGGGAAAAAACCCAGAAATATGATAATGTCTACTGAATAATCTATAAAGAAAAGGTGGTCATGTCATTATTTCCTGTCAGAAATATGATGGGAAACTTTCTTTGTAATTTTAGTGGAGAACTGGGGATCCAGATACATATTCAGTTCACTGGACAAAAAAGAATATAAACATATACATGTTAGGCCCAAAGCTCTTGTCTAGCTACCTGTAAAGACATGAAATAAAGTAAATGTCAACCAATTTCTACATTCCTTTAAAAAGCTCAATAGTTAAATTAGGAAATCAGTAGGTACTCAATATAAACAGGAAAATTTCCACTCCTGTTTTAAAAAGATCAAAATGAGCATAAGAACACAAATCACTTTGCAGAATGTGAGATGGGAATAATCACAGCTAAGAATCACATCTGGTAAATTACTAGGAACTCAAATCCAGATTTCAGAAGATCCCATAATATAAATTCTAACTTACAGTTAATAACCAAGTTTTTAACATTTCTAACTATTTCATCAAATCTAAGATATCAAAGATATACAATGATTTTATGTATCATTATAAGAACCAATTATAACTGTAAGATGCCATAAATTATAAACTGTATTTCAGTTTCAGAGATGTTAAAATGTGAAAAAAGGTGTGGAACCAATGAAATTTGATAGTAAAAAATAATCACTCTTATGTGACAGAATCTGTTAGCCTCCCAATGTTGCTAATCACCATTAATTACAATGGTGCTAATTACACCAAGCAGGCCCATGACGTAAATGTACAAGAGCTAAGCATACACACACTCAAAAAAATTACGCGTTCCTTAAATATTAAAAATGCCTCTCAACGCATCAAATCAGGAAACATTTTGATCTCTCTCAAGTCCTTAAACACTGAAAAAATTTGGTAGCTCATATCTTACCATTTGAGCTCGGAGATACATTTGAGCTTGGCTTGCCGTTAGGGTAGGGGAGGTACTCCCTAGTAACATAGTCTGTTGGGTAATACTGCCGCTGGTAGAACTGGAAGCCTGGGAACGGCTTATTAACTGTGCAGGTGTAGGAGAAGTGGAGAGGTTGATCTAAGGAAGAAAACATATTAGGTCATAGGCTTCCATTTCTTGCTTCTATGTCACTGAATTTCACCAAGCTGCAGCTAGGCAATCAATAGCAGTATAAACTGTGGCTAAGGAATCTAAAAGAGAGGGCTTCATCTTTGACAGACACCCCGCTCTCACTTCTTTGGGTAATTACTTGCACATATGCAAACAATAGCATGTACTGGTTAGTAATCAGGACAATTTTTAAGGATATCTTCATTGTGTTTCAATAAGATTCCAGTATCTTAAAATATCATTTCTACTACCTCCCAAAAGTTAGGGCTAAAGTTCCATTATTTTAATATTACACATAACTTAAAACATTCAAATGAAACATTCGAACTGTTTACACAATTTTGTCAGATTCTGTCACTTTTTGAGGGCTTTCTGAAGCAAACAAAAATTAAAACACGGATAATCCATTCACATGTATAAAAACATACATGTAACATATAATTAGTATAACATTCTCCCTCAAAAGCTCTCAGAGAAAAAGAAAATACAATTGCTACTTGTCAAACAGACAGAAAAGTCCTGAATTTTGGTTACAAAATTAGATTATAAACACTAAAGTTAAAACTGCTGTTAAGAATAAACTAGTGTAGTCTATCTTTAGGCTACGTAAGCGACCAGTAACTGGTTGTATCTGTGAAGGCAAACTGGGTGGGGCAGGTAAGAAAGAGGACAAAGGGAGATACGTGTACACTTCTTTATCTTTCCAATTTCATACCACACACATCTATCACATCTACTTTAAAAATAAATAATATTTTTAACAGGAGTAATATAATCTGACCTCATATCCTTTTTGTGGACAAAGCTAGAGAATAAAATTAAGAAATAGTTTATTAGACTTTTGATTCAAGCAACAAGGCAGACTGGACTAATACATCCACGTGCCCAAAGAGACTCACAGAAATGCTAGATCAACATGAAGAATTAGAACATATAGCCGAACTCAAAAAAGGGGAAGGGAGGGGGGAAATTCCCAGGTGCCAGAAAGGAAGAAACTCAAAAGATTTAAGCTCCTGCTGACACCAAGGCAGTCTGGGGGATACTGGCCTACAGAGACAGAAGACCTGATTTTGAGCCTATTTCTGGGGAGAGCTGGAAGTAAAGCCCTATTTTGAGCCAAGATCCTCAAAAGGGCTGCTCAATATGTGAAAAGGGAGCTAGAAAAGCTCGACTCATATGCCCAGACAAGCATCAGGGAAGCCTGCCATCAGCCCTGCTCCCAGTGTAGGGAGAGAGGCTCCTATGAGAATCAAAGCTCCAGGCTGGTGCCATGCGGAGATACAGAATCCAAATTTATACTACTTGCACAGTTCCACAACCCATCCCAAAACATTAGCATTTGCACTCATCCAGGACATCTGTTAAACTGAAAAAGTGATTGGAAGAAGCTGAGTGAAGGCTATACAGGAGGACCTCTCCGTACTATTTATGTAACTTCTTCTGAGTCTATAATTATTTAAAAATAAAGTTTAAAAACTGTATAGTGGGCACACAAGAGTTGGTTAACTAATTCTTTAAATTTATCTGTATCTTTTAAGTGATTCTTAATTTTAATAAAATACTTAAATCTGTAATTCAGTGCATACAGACAATTAATATAATATACAGAATTATTCTGCAATCTGGCTTTTACTCCTAGCACATCACTAAAACCCCATTAGCAATAATCACCACTGCCCTCTCTCTGACAAATTCAGTGAATTGTTTTCAAGCCATCCCTTCTCAATCTTCTTTACAAGCTCTTCCTTCTGGGCCACCCCAAAACGTTCATGTGTTGTCCTCAATACTTTTCTTCTTGAATTCCTAGATTATCACATCTCCTCCCACAGTTTCAAACAACTCAATCCCAATGACTCTCAGTCCTTGAGGCAAACTCTTATTCTGAGCTTCAAATCCAAACACCTACAAAACACATCTTTCTGGATGTTGCTTACCAACAAAAACTCAACATGTTCAAACACAAAACTCATTATTATTCCTTTTTAAACCAGCTTGTCCTCAAATGGCTACTGGCAACTTCTAAAACCCCCTAAAACAATTATCTGGGAGTCATCCTGATTCTTCCCTCTCCTTTATCACATATACAAAACCAGTCAACCTGTCTTATTATTTCAACACCTATATTCTCATTTTCATTTTGATTTTTTTTTTCTTATTATTTTAAATGTTTTTGGTTAGGAAGACTGGCCCGGAGCTAACACTTGCTGCCAATCTTCCCTTTTTTTTTTTTTTGCTTGAGGAAGATTCGCCCTGAGCTAACATCTGTGCCAATCCTCCTCTACTTTTTGCATATGGGATGCCCTCACAGCATGGCTTGATGAGGGGTGTGTAGGTCCACACCCAGGATCCAAACTCACGAACCCTGGGCCTCCGAAGCAGAGCGTGCCAACTTAACCACTATGCCACCAGGCGGGCCCCCCTCATTTTGATTTTTAATCACTTAGCTTAGGAGTCTAGGCCCAGGGCACTTCCAGATAGATTACTTTAGCACTCCTCCATACACACCCTTCACATTAGCCATGTGAAACTATCTGCAATATCATGATGCCTCAGGCCTCTATGGCCCTGGTAATGATGCTCTGGACTACACTGAGCACTCCCCTACCCCACCCATCCCCGCCCATGTAGTGAACAATTCTCTAGAGCCAGCCCTGATGGCCTAGTGGTTACAGTTCAGTGCACTCTGCTTCAGCAGCCGAGGTTTGCTTCCTGGAGGCACAACCACACCACTTGTCTGTCAGTATCCCTGCTGTGGCAGTGGCTCACGTAGAAGAACTAGAAAGACTTAAAACTTGAATATCCAACTATGTACTGAGGCTTGGGGGAGGGATAAAAAAAGAGAGAGAGAAAGACTGGCAACAGATGTTAGCTCAGGGCAAATCTTTCAAAAGAAAAAACAAAACAAATAAAAATCACCTGTTGTAATAAGCTTTTTCAGGCATCCCCAGATCCCATGTAACTGACTATTCCCCTTCCTCTTTGCCTGTTACCTTCCATACACTTCTAGTGTATACTTCTATCTCACCCTTCTAAACAATCATTTCTTTAAGGAGGGGATCATGTGTTATTCATCTTCATACATCCAATATCTATGAAAGTGCCATCATTCAATAAGTTTATTATGTGAATGAATGTCAAGTTATTTTAAGACATACTTCAGAGTTTTAATGTAATATATAAACCCAGCACAGAGAGCGTAAGTGTGTATGTATGGGAGAAAGGAAGAAACAATTTTGGTAGAGCCCCTAACAAAGCACAGTAAAAAGGCAGAGCTAGTGTGGTGATATTAGTTCAACCCTATTTTTGATGTGCTATATAATAAATGGTTAATAAGTTTCCTCCAAAACTTATTCTTTTTCTACGCTACTCTACAAATGGACATTGTGGATCAAGCCGTGCTGCAAAGGTTAAATCACTCAGCAGGGTCAAACTGGACCCATGTACTTCGGCATTCAGGGTGCCTTCCTATACCCCGAGTGCTCACTAATTTGGCTCACTCTGCAAAAATGATGCATTGGTACTTTTTTTCAGTCAGTGACTCTTAAAAAAAAAAAGAAAGAAAGGTACTTTAGTAAGGATAGACTACACAGTCTGTAAACAAAAACATAATAAAAGTTTTTTAAAAAAATGATCGGTTGATGGCTAAAATGCCTGAGAGTGCCCTTTAAGGAAGTAGAACATCAAGTACAAACCTAATGTTTTTCTTTTTCTTAAAAAAGAAAAAAGGAAGTAAAAAAAGCTAAAGAATAACTTCCTACCCACCTGCATTCCACTTTGTCTAAATTGTGAGATCAGCGAATAAATATCATGTTTCTTTTTAAGTTCCATACAGCAAGTAACATTTCAGGCAGTGTCTACTAACAAATGCCCAACCCACAAGGGCAAACAGGTCAGTAGCCATCTCTGCAAGAAGTCCGTTTCCACAGCTGACCTGACTAAAAAACGTCCCTTCCTTTCCACAACTGATAAGGCTCTTCTCTACTTTTCTTCTTTGCTCTGACCTGAACCAGAAACCCTTAACTGTTTCCATTATTTTCTCTGTCAATTCCATCCCACACTCCTAATTCCCTTTTACTTTAAAGGCTTGGCCAGTCCTGTCACTTCATACCTCAAGCCCCACACTCCATAAAGGAACTCACTCCTTGAGCCCTATTACTGGAAGCTCTCTCCCCAGTGGCACTAATTCCATGAGTCACTGGAGAAAACCAAGTCTGTCAAGAAAAGCCACTTAACTCCCAACCACCTCTTGGTGTCCCCAAAAGGAGGTTACACAGGGTCCCTGGCCCAGAGTACTCCCTAGAGCCAAGCCCATTTGCTGCCATTTGACTGATCAGAATCCATCAGGTATATCCTCAGAGAGACACAGCACACAGAAATTAAAAGAACAATGGATACTTGTATTCAATGGCATGAAAATATCTTTATGATCCACTGGTGAGTGAAAAAACTGCAGAATACCCTGTAGAGTATAACCCCACTTACATAAATGTCTGTGTGCATGTAAGTCAGCCCTCCACAGCCACAGGTTCCACATCGGCAGATTCAACCAACCTCAGATCAAAAGGCCTGTGATGGCTATGTCTGTACTGAATGTGTACAGACTTTTTTTCTTGTCATTATTCCCTAAACAATATAGTATAACAACTATTTATATAGCATTTACATTGTATTAGGTATGACAGTAATCTAGAGATGATTTAAAGTATATGGGAGGTTGTGCGTAGGTTTTATGTAAAGACCATGTCATTTTACACAAGGGACTTGAGCATCCAAGGATTCTAGTATCCATGGGGGTACTGGAACCAATCTCCCATGGATACTGAAGGATGACTGTATACATACATATCACACCTGTAAAAAACATGTTAAGAAAAAAGTGCACTGTATATACATACAATAATGCACACTCATAAACCTGCACATGATTAATGAATAATGCCTACTAGGGGTAAAATTTGCAAAGATTT